ATGATTATTTAATTTGCATTTTTTTCCTCTACCTATCTGTCTGGTCAACAGCTTGCAAATATTTACTGAAGGCTTTTAGTGTGCTGCTAGTTTTGAAGTGTGTGGGAAATGTAAATGAACAAAAGACCTTGGCCTCTTGGAGTTTATATTCTAGTGAAGTTCAGATTTTTTTTTTTTTTTTTTTGAGATGGAGTCTTGCTGTCTTGCTAAGGCTGGAGTGCAGAGGCGTGATCTCGGCTCACTGCGACCTCCGCACCCCAGGTCAAGCGATTCTCCTGCCTCGGCCTTTCAAGTAGCTGGGACAACAGGTGCCCACCACCATGCCCATTGTATTTTTAATAAAGGCGGGGTTTCAGCATATTGCCTGGCTAGTCTTGAATTGCTGACCTCCAGTGATCTGCCTGCCTTGGCCTCCCAAAGTGCTGGGATTACAGATGCAAGCCACCACACCTGAGAATTCTATAATGTTATCTGTAAAACAGTTCCCTCATCAGTTTTTATCTCTGTGACATTGACTTTTTGGAGTCTAGGCCAGTTGTTTTTTAAGATTGTCCTGTGTTCTGTATTTGTCTCATTTCTTTGTGATGTTATTTATTTCTCTAGCTCTTTTATTTTCTGTAAATTTACTAACCTATATATTCACTTCCTTTTAGTCAGCTCATCTACATATTTAAGTTTTCTCAGTTGTCCTAAGAATATTTTTTATAGCTTTTAAAATTCCAACCAGAATATACTTATTCTCTCTTGGATAGTTGGTAATTTACTGTTTATTTCTCAGATGATTTTGTCTTTAAACAAAATTTTTGGCCAGGCATAGTGGCTCACGCCTGTAATCCCAACACTTTAGGAGGCCGAAGTGGGCGGATCACTTGAGGTCAGTAGTTCAATACCAGCCTGGCCAATATGGTGAAACCTTGTCTCCACTAAAAATACAAAAATTAGCCGGGTGTGGTGGCGTGTGCCTATAGTAGTTCCAGCTACTCTGGAGGTTGAGGCAAAAGAATCGCTTGAACCCAGGAGGCGGAGGTTGTAGTGAGCTGAGATCACGCTACTACACTCCAGCCTGGACAGCAGAGCCAAACTCCGTCTCAATAAATAAAACAAATAAACAAACAAAAATTTTTTCCTGACTTTAGCCAGCTGTCTTTTCATATCTTTAATATATATTCAGAATTTTTTATATTCTCATTCATCTTTCTTTTATACCTATAATTGCTGTTTAGTTATATTGAATTTATGTTGGAGAATTATGTTATAGTTTTTTCCTTCTTGGTAGGTGTTTTTTTAATTTTAGGGAGTTACTTTTATCAGCAGAAAATATTTCTGTTCTTTTGTTTTCTTATTGAAGAACAGTATAGATGTCAGATTATTTATTTTGTTTACGATGATATATTGGATTTTCATAGACCTCAAGAAACAAGTGGATTCCTTGAGGCCAGGAAAAAAAGGTTTGCTTAGTTTTTAAGTTTAAGAGTGCCCTCTTCTGTTGGTATAATGAAATGCACCTTCTTTACTACATGATTTGTTGGGGGCTTTCTACTTCTGATTCTGTGATTACCGTCTTATTTGAACAGAGCCCTTATCTTTTGTTTCTTCCTTTTCTTTATACACCAAGATTCAAAAGGATACCTCCCGCTTCTAATTGCTATTTACCTCTTGTCCTAGAGAGAACCTTAGTTGGTATCTACGTTATACAACTACCAGGATTCTTTTCTACACAGTTTCCTCTGATTTTTTTCAATAAGGGCTCTGTAACATTGCTTGTCTTGGATGTTTATATTTTCCTCATTTACTTGAAATGAAATTTGAAGTGTTATTTGTCTCTTATTTGTATTAAAAACAAGGGATATGGGTAATTTTATTTGCTCTCTGTGGGTTTTGAAATATTTGTTTGTATATTTGATTTGAGTTTGGATGCCTACCATTTTCCTAAGGGAAGTAGAATGTCTACTGTAAGTTTTAATACTGGACAAGGAAAAACTTAAAAAAAAAAAAACGAATAATCCGTTGTCTCTGCATTTTGTTGAATTTTGGGACATTATTATTGAATAGTTTCTACCTTCCCCTTTGATCTGAGTCACTTCTTTTTCATATATCAAAATTTCTTACATTTGTAGGTCTGTTTTAGAACTTTCCATTTTATTTATTTGGTTCGTTGATCTATCCCTGCACTAAAACTTTGTAAGTCTTGATGTCTGGCAGCGCAAGTAGCCCCTCTTTTCCTCTGCGGGAGTGTTTGGCCCATTGCTCTTCCAAACAGATTTTAGAATCAGCTTGACAAGTTCCACAAGAAACCTTTTTGGAAGCTTGATTATTATTGCAATACCTAGGGAAGACTGGACACTTCATGATACCATTCCTTCTTGTTCATGAGCTTGGAGTATCTCTCCATTTATTTCATTTGTAATTTTTTTTTCTTTTTTGAGACAGAGTCTCGCTCTGTCACCCAGGCTGGAGTGCAGTGGCGCGATCTCAGCTCACATTCACTGCAACCTCTGCCTCCCAGGTTCAAGCGATTCTCGTGCCTGAGATTACAGCCACACACCACCACTCCTGGCTGTTTTTTTCTTTATTTTTTATTTTTTATTTTTAGTAGAGACATGGTTTCTTCATATTGCCAAGGCTGGTCCCAAACTCCTGAGCTCAGGCAATCCGCCTGGCTCAGCCTCCCAAAGTCCTGGGATTACAGGTGTGAGCCACGGCACCCGGCTCTCCATTTATTTCGGTACTTTAATATTACATTAAAAATTATTATTTTCCCAAATTTTTTCACTCTTTAAAAATTTCTAACTTCGTTGCTAGTACTTAGCAATGAAATTGATTTTTGTATATTGATTTTATTTCCAGCTACCTTAGAAAGTTGAATTTTGAATGATTTTACTATATATATGTGTGTATATGTATAGACAACTAAAATTATGTGTATTTATTGTGTACCACATGTTTTGAAATACATATCCATTGTAGAATGGCTAAATTGAACAGTTAATTTATACATTATCTCACTTCAGTTTTTGAAGCCTAAAATATTACTGTGTGGCCCTTTATAGATAAAGTTTGCCACTCCCTGATACCATCATACCATTTTAAATAGTAATGACAGTTTTGTTATATTCATTTTCAGCGCATCTAATTTTTTCCACTTGTAGTCCAAAAAATTACTTTTGCTAAGTACACAATTTAGATAATATTTTGCCAATATTTTCTTCTTTCAAAACTTGCAAGATATTATTAGTATATTCTCCCTGGCTTCCACTATTGCACTTGAGAAATCTGTTGTTCAAATTGTTGTTCCTTTCTAGGTGATCTCTTCTTTCTCTGATTACTGTCTCTGTCTTTGGAGTTGTGCAGTTACACCGCCAAATTCTAGGTTTGGATTTCTTTTTATTTATCCTGCTTGGGTTATGTTGCACATCCTGAATTTATAAAGATTCTTGTTTCATTAATCTGGAAATTTCACAGCTGTTATCTTGTTAAATATCTTTCAGACGCCCCAATAGACGTATGTTAATTAGATATTCTCATGCTGTCCTTTGTATCTCTTTATGTCTTTCCATTTCCTTTTTCTCTTTGCCACATTTTGGGTAATGTATTCAGGTGTATCTTCCAGCTCTCTAATTTGTTCTTAAATATGTTTAATTTTTTAAAAAATTTCAACTGTTGTATTACTCAGTTCAAGTTGTTTCATCCTCCTACCCCCAAGTTCATCTGTTTATTCCTAGTGGCCTCTTGTTGATTGTCATCTTTGAGTCCATCCTTGATTTCTTTAAACATATACACATCTGTTCTGTAATCTGTACTGGACAATTCTAATATCGACAGTTCTCAAATCTGTTATCTGTTGCCTCTGACTCTTGCCTTCTTGTGTATTTGATCTTTGATTGTGAACCCATTGCTTGAACTTGGTGGGAGTCCTTTGGACCTACCAGAAACAACTTTCTTCCAGAGAAGATTTATTCCTGCTTGACACTGGGGAATCATCAGTCAGAACTGCCTTAGCCTCTCTTGTCTCAACTCAAGAATTGTAGGGTACTCTGCCCCACTTATTGGTTGGGGACTTTGTTTTTGGATAGGATGAGCTGCAAAGTCACATTGTAAAAGGAGCCTGCATTCAGGAATGAGAACTCAGGGACTCCACAGATCTGGGACTCAGACCTCTAAGGAGAGGGTGGAAGCTAGTTGGTGCTATGTGATGGCCCAGTGAGCTGATTCAGTGAGTGTTAGAAAAACTGCAAACTGGAGTCAGGTGCTGCTCCTGGAATGAGTGGTCTACCAGAGTTGTTAGGATTCTACTGCAAAGAATGGAAAGCAGTCAGGAAGAAACAGGTCCCTTCCTTTAACTTCCAGTCTCTCTCCAACACCCCCTTTGCCAGAGTTTAAGAGGAGAGGTAACCATTAAAATCAACAGAAAAATTGGTTTAATGAATACTAGGTTCAGCATCTCAAAGCAGAGTATATATAGGAGAGTAGGTTTAGAGCTGAAAGAATAGCTTAATTATTGGCTCTTCAATAACTACTGCCTACTAAGTTTACTTTTTTATTGTCAATGTGCAATAACGGAAGATTTGTTTGTGTAATTAAGTTTAATTTCAACTCTCATTTCTTTCATGAATGCTTTCCTGACCATGGTAGCATACACAGATTTTCTGCACCACTCTATCAATTACTGATTTTAAGTTGCTGTTCAACTTTTAAAACGTTTATCCTTATGTTTATGTGTGTTTGCAAGTGCATTGAATAGGGAGGTGGGTTTCAGGGCTGTGTTCTTATAGTTCGAATATTACAACCAGCCTAGGCTAGCACCTTATACTTAATCGGCATTACAAAGTACCTTGACCTTTCTGAAAGCTGGAGATTTTTTAAATGCTTTCTTATAAAATGGAATATCCCTCAAAATTATACTTTTGTTGATATCAAAAGAGTTTTATTTTTCATGTTGTCATTAATGTTAAGATGCTTAAAAATGAATCTTAGGAAATTAATTTCCTTTTAATTAGCAGGTGCTTCTAAGGAAGGAGGTGCTGGAGCAGTTGATGAAGATGATTTTATAAAAGCTTTTACAGATGTCCCTTCTGTTCAGGTAAGGCTACCAGTGGCACTCCCCATGAATATTACCTATGTGCCTGTTTGTATAATTATTTGTCTCTGTCCCTTTTTAAGAATTTTTTTTTTGTTAAATAGCTATATAAATAAAATATTTGGCTTATTACCACCAAGCCATTATTTGTTGGTACAATTAGATTTTCAAGTGATTTTTCAGTGAGGCTGAAATAGAATTGAATCATATTGTTGAATCACATTATACTGCAGTGTTCAGATTCTTAAATTAATGAGTTTTGAGCTCACAGAGTATTAGATTAGTTGATGATAGAAATTTGGAAGTCATTCATACAGATGTTATTGAAGTAAAGTGGACACATGCATAAATAAGAGTATTATTTCCATGACTTACAACTACACATAAATGTTATATTGTATGTAACATTCTACAACCTGACTTTTTACAGTGGTGTTATTTATATTTTTTCCCAATGTAAAATTTGTGATTCTAGTTCATTCATTTGGATTGATAGGTGGTATTCTATTGTATGAACAGACCACAGTGCGTTTATAGGTTGTTTCTGGTTTTTGGCTATTCCATATCATGCTGCAATGAATTTTTTTTTTTTTTTTTTTGAGATGAAGTCTTGCTCTGTTGCCCAGACTGGAGTGCAGTGACACAATCTTGGCTCACTGCAACCTCCCACCTCCTGGGTTAAAGCAATTCTCCTGCCTCAGCCTCCTGAGTAGCTGAAATTACAGGCGCCCCGCCACCACGTCCAGCTAATATTTTGTATTTTTAGTAGTGACAGGGTTGCACTATGTTGGTCAGGCTGGTCTCCAACTCCTCACCTTGGCCTCCCAAAGTGCTGGGCTTACAGGCGTGAGCCACCACACCAGCTTGCAATGAATATTTTTGTACATATGTCCTTGATTATTTGTAAGTAGGAGTTTCTTTAGGGTATAAACACAGGAGTAGAATTGCATGGTTATAATCTTTAAGTTTACTTAGATGTTACCCTGTAGGGTTGTTGTACCAGTTCAGACTCCTGTGAGAAAGGTATGATAGTTCTAATTTCATCACATCCTTGCCAATACTTGTTGTTGTAACTCAGAATATTTTTACCAGCATGATGGGTGTGAATACTCTTTAGCATGTCTATTTGAAAATATTCTCACATCGCTTTACTTGCGAACTACCTTCTGTTGCCTGTATTACCTTTTTAGCTCTCTGAAAGGAAAATTGTCCTTAAGGTATTTAAGATCTTAAAAAGTTAGAAGAAAGCTTTAAAAAGTTTTCTGGTTTGACTGTATTTTATCCCTTTATTGAGACATATGTTTTTTTCTTATTTTAAGATATTTTTTAAATAATAGGGAAAACATATCACTTCCTCCTTTTGTGTTTTACAGCCTTTCATACAAGGGGAAGATTAGTGTTGTAGGAACAATCAGTAAAACTTAGTTGAACTTGAATATTTTTATTGTTCAGTATGTTCTTGTCAGACTGGTAACATCATGGTATGGGCAGCCAAGGGCTACTCAACTGTATGAAGGGGAAAAGGCTATTTTACAATTACTCATTGCTTTCTTCCAGCTGGGCCTCTCTGCCACCCTCACCACCCTGTAAATGTTCCACACCTTCCATTGTTCCCTTGGAAACATCTTTTTCATAAGCAGCAACTCCCCTAAGCTTTAACCCCATTTTTAAAGGGTCCATTCAATGTTCTTTCCTTGATTAGAATCTGATTTTTTTTTTTACCCTCTTTAAAGATAAAGCTGTTTATTATTCTTGGCTCTCATACTCTTAGTAATTGATAATAAGTTTATTGTGCTTTCACTCCTCATTATTACTTTGTGACCGTTATTCCTATACCCATTTATATGAGGTTCATACTCCCTGGCCAGCCTTCTTATTATTGGCATGTACTGATCTTGACAACATTCTAGTGCTGCCTACGTTTGAATCCCAGCTCTACCACACTAGCTGTGTAACCTTAGGTACATTACTTAACCCTCTGTACTTCAGTTTCCTCATCTTAAAATGGGAATTATTAGTACTTATGCCAAGGGTTATTGTGAGGCTAGCTATGACAGTACAGATGAAGTGTAAGAAGTGTATGTTAGCTATTATTATTTTCCTAAATTTTCACACATTCTTGATGAATTCAATTTCTAGACCTCCTCCTCACTTTCACCATAGCCACCCAGTTCATAGTCACACGTTGGATTTTGATATCATCTGTGTGTTACTGTTATGTTTCCGAAGTTGTTAATTGAAGTATCTCATTACTGACCAGGATTCCCTTGCTTTTTGAAGTTCTAACAACTACTTCTGCATGATTTCAAGGATCTTCAGTCCATTGTCTTTTCTACTCACTCTCAATTAATCATCCATCACTTTATACTTTCCTTCGCATCTATGCTTTGATTTCCTTCTTATCTGAGCTTTGATACCATGGTTTCTTGTGGTAGGACTGTACATAATATACTAAAATCCCTTCCTTTTCTGTTTTTTTTTTTTTCCATAACAAAGTATTAAACAGTGATTTTTTTAAAATACGGATTTTACAAACCTACAACTGTGGATATTCCCAACTTTTTATTTTCTCTATGTCCTGAAACCGTGCTGTTAGAGAAAGTCACATGTTAGGGCTCATGATTTTTAGTGGAATTCACATAAAATGAGCCCTCAGTAATCTGATATCCTTACTATGTTTCTGTGATCAGTTATTTCTCTGCTTAATATAGCTATCAGACATGTTTCTTTCCTTTCTATCCATCAGCCTGTCTCTGTCCTCCTCTCTTCTCTCAGCCCCTTACTTTAGTAAATAAGCAGTCACCATCAAATGGGAGCATGATCTTTCTGTTAACATTCTTCTCTACTGTACATTCCTTCTGTCCTGTTGCTCCAGGAACATGGTCCTTCTTCAAAGGTCAGCACCTCCACCAGTGCTCCAAAGCCTAGTATTTTCTGCTTCCTTAATACATTTACACAATCAGTAATCTCATGTGGGTTCAAGCTCTTTCTGTTTATCTCTTAACGTGGCTGGGTTCTTCAATTAAAAAAACAAAAGTCTCACTGGACTCCGTATCTTCCAGACACTATTTTTTATTTTGACCCTCACAGTCAGCTTTTCCAAAAGAGTTGTCTGTACTTGGTATTTCTATAACTTGTTACTCACTTCATCCCACTTCTTTCTAGCTTATTCTTACGTTGAAACAGGTCTTGAGTAAATCACTGATCATCGTTGAGGCACCAGAATCAACCTGTTTGGAATTTTTTTTTCCTTGTTCTTTTATCAGTATTTAGCACTGTTGACTATAGCCACTGTTTTGGCGTTTAATTTTAGGTGCTTGTGATGTAATGTTCTTCCATTTTATTTCCTCTACATCTTTGTCCACTTCATCTCTGTCTCTTTTATAAGCACATCCTTCTCTACTTGGCTGTTGAATATTGGAATTTCTTAAGGGTTAGTTCTGGGCCCTGTCTTCTCATTCTCTGTTTTCTTACTGAGTCACCTCCTTCAAACCGCTGGCTTCAGTTCCTACGTTTTATCTAGGTAATGCCCAGATTTTAACCTCCAAGCCACATCTCTCCTGAGTTCCAAAATGATTTTGTCCACTGTGATTGTTTACCTGACGCCCTCTTTCAGATGTCTCAGACACCTCAAACTTATCCTGTTTGAAACTGAAATAATGGTCTTCCAGTATTCTCTGTGTGTAAACCATTACTTAATCAGTTACAAAAGTTAGAAACCTAGGAATCATTCTACTGCAATGGATACCTAACTTAGTGGGTTTTCAAGCTTCTTTTACTTGTATACCTGCTAAAAGAATGTTTAAAGAAGTACATTTTTGAGTTGACTCTCTTCTTCCTTACTGGAGGAAGGGGAACCTTGCATTGTGTTCCAGGGGAATGCATCATAAGATTAGGGGTGGTAGAACATTCTGGAAAATGGCAGAGGGGTATTGTGAAGAGAAGGTGAGAGGCAGGAAAGAGCTAGCTCAGAAGTTTCTTTAACCACATAACAGAATGTTACCTGGTCACCATCTACCTCGTCCCAGCCTTGTCTCATGCCTTGCTCTCCTTTGCGTTTGCAAGCACTCTCTTTCTCTCTCTCTTGCTCTTACTCTCTGTTAAGCAAAAGGTGAATTTAATAGCGTTGAAAGTGAAAAATGTAAGGCAATTTGATGAAGAGACTCAGTTGGTATCACCAGGAGCCTATTTCTCATTTCTAATTCCTCTGCATTGTCTCCTCCCATGGTCAACAATGTGGTTATAGCTGTTCCATCCTCACACCTGGGTCATTGGCTCTTCTCCCAGTTCCCTTTATACTTTTTATTCCTTACTCTGGCCTTCTTTCATTTACTTTGTCACAGAGCCTTTGCACATGATATTAACTCTCTAGGGAAAGCAAATCTCTCCACTTTGCCTAATGATATCCTACACATTATTTAGCTCTCAGCTCAATCTTGACTTTCCTCATAGGTCATACCCCTCTTATGTATAAACTTTCGTTTTCTTCTGTGGGACTTCCTATTTGTAGTTTCATATTTGATTGATTTTTAAAATCTCCCTGAGTAGATTGTACTCTCCATAAAGCAAAGACCGTGTCTATTTTGGCTAACCATAGTCCTCCCCATTGCCTGGCATAGTACCTTTGTGTTATGTGAATATTTTTTAAATGAATGAAAAAATAATGGTGAATAGCAGTTTGACAAAGGATTGGCTCCAGAGGGAACAAAACATGTAGCTATCCTGACTATAGTTTATCATGACAGAAGAGAGAAAATCAAAACTAACTTAAAACATGTCCTTTTGGTAATATTGTGTAATATGTATATGAATGCAATAAGATAGGTTATACACTTGAAGTCATTTTGAGAAATTAGACTTTTATTTATTCTTAGATATTTGACATCTTGTTTTTAAAATTACAAAGCATTTTAAGAGCATATTTGAAGTTATTTATGAGGGAAGAAATAGCAAAAATGGTAACAAGGAAGAAAAAGCGTTTTGTGTTATTGTTGTCTATAATGTATTTCTATTCTCCATTAGAAATGGTGCTAGAATGAGAAATAAACTTAGTAGGTGAAAGATTATTTTAAACATCAGGGCATAGTTTTGATGTTGTTCATGGCAAGAAACACTGTTATAATTCTGAATCTTTTTTTTTTAAGATTTATTCTAGTCGAGAACTCGAAGAAACATTAAATAAAATCAGGGAAATTTTGTCAGATGACAAACATGACTGGGATCAGCGTGCCAATGCAGTAAGTTTTTGTCTTTAATTTTATCTTCTTTCTTTATTGATGTTCCTTTTAAAAAACATGGAAATTCAGTAGTAGTACTATATGGTATTCACTTATAAAATAGAGTCTGGTAGGTAACATTTCTTTCTGGAGAATATATTGATAAAATACTCATTTTCTGGTTTAGGATCGATTTTTATTTTGGTTTGGCTTATCAGATGGTGCCTACACATTTGGTAGCCTCACCACATGTGCTGTTTTTGACTGATCAGCGCAATGTGAGATTCACAGGGCTTTGGCCTTTCTGTGGACTTATACAGTTGCTTATTAGCACTCTCCTCAAGTCATGTAAGGTTTACCAGTAAAGCAGTTCACTTTACCTGCATGCTCAGTGTTTTCATAGCACTTTACCTGCATACTCAGTGTTTTTATAGCATCAATATAAATTCACAACAGGATGTGCATTTATCTGGCTTTTTTTCTTCCCATGTGAATGTAATGCATATTTCTCCTGTGATTTCATTTATAAAGGTCAGATACCCTTGAGTTAAGAATATTTTATTTAGCCTAAATTCCTTAAGGAAAATATTTGATAAAATTTAAAATAATATTTGTGTTGACAATAAGCAATATGTTGTTTAAATTTGTGAACTTATTGTTTACATAACCAGATTACATGTACCAAATGAGTACCTCAGAGTTTTCAAGAAGCCAGAGAAAAGGGCTGCATTTGAAGACTGTTCTGCTCTGAGAGGCCCCAATCTGGCTGATCATGAAAATCCCCATTTTGATTAATTAAATCAAATGCAGGGTCTTTGGACAAATGTGGCTTTTATGACACCATGAGCAAAGGACCATTTTTGTCTTTGTTAGGAAGTCTACATATCTTAAAACATTGAAATACTGTTTTTAACAGAGTGTTCCTCCAAATTTGTTAAATATGGCTCCTATTCTTGTTTGTCACAGGTGATCTGTAGAGAAACATGACAGATTAAGTATTGTTAGTATAAAACGTCATCTTTTTACTTAAGGGTTTTTTTTGGGGTTTTGCTTAAAAACTACCCATTTGGAAACAACAGATGGTCTTTTGATTTTTTTTTTTTTTTTTTCATTAGAAAAATGACACAGGCTTATTGTAATGAGTGAAACAATGCAGAAAACTACAGAGAAAAAGTTAATAGTTTCCTACCTGTTAAAGAAATAAACTTTTGTGGAGGCTAAGATGGGAGGATTGCTTGAGCCCAGGAGTCTGAGGTTACAGTGAGCTATGATTGTACCACTGTGCTCCAGCCTGGGCAACAGAGTGAAATCCTGTCTCTTAAAAAAAAATAAAAAAACACACTTTTCATTTTAGAGTATACCTTTTCTGTGTTATATGTATTTAAACATATATGACAAGGTACGCACAATTTTCCCCTACTCTCTTTGTAAAAAAAAAAAAAAAGAGAGATCATACTTGATACATTACTTAGTAACTTGCTTCTTTTTTTTTTTTTTCTTAACAAATCGTGCTCATTCAGTACACCTGGTATAGATGTCAGGCACATAATAGTTGCTCAGATATTTATTGAGTGCAGATCAATATGTACATATATTCCTTAGTTTAATATGTATACATGTAATTTGTGTATGTGTGTTATAGGAATCTGATCTTTTGTTTGTTTCTTTTATACTTTAAGTTCTAGGGTACATGTGCACAACATGCAGGTTTATTATATATGTATACATGTGCCATGTTGGTGTGCTGCACTCATTAACTCATCATTTACATTAGGTATATCTCCTAATGCTATCCCTCCCCCATCTCCCCACCCCACAACATGTAATTTTTAAAATCATATGCCATTTGATGGATTTTCAGTTTTTTTTATTGTTTTGCTATTTTAGCAGTGTTATAGTAAACATCCTTACACACATTTGTAACAATGGTGCTTTTATTTTTGTAGGTTAGATTTTAAAATGTGGATTGTTGGGTAAAGAGTTGCTGCAATTTTATTTTAGTAGATGCTGCCAAAATATTTTGAACAAAGGTGTTAGTCACATATAATCTTACAGTGTTTGACAGCATCTGTTTTCTTTTCAAATTTAAAAAATTTTTGCCATTGTATTGGGGAGAAATGTGACTTTGTGAATTTATCACTAGTAACTTTTAACATATTTAAATATATTTATTTTACCCAATTTAATCACAGGTTATAATAGTCCCCCCTTACCTATGGTTTCAGTTTCCATGGCTTTAGTTACTCATGGTCGACCATGGCCAGGAAATAAGAAGATGCTTTGATAGACCTACATTCACATAATGTTTATTACAATATATTATTATAGTTTTTCCATATTATTGTCATTAATCTCTTACTGTGTCTAATTTATAAATTAAACTTTATCATAGGTAAATATTTATGGGGAAAAAAAGGTATATAGGGTTCAGTACTATCTGAGGTTTTAGGCATCCACTGGGGGTCTTGGTACATATCCCTTGCAGGTAAGGGGAAACTACTGTATTTGTCTTTTTCTTATTTTATTGTCATTCTTTGTGTGTCATCTTATATACATTGCAGGTAATTTTATCCTACCGTATTGTGATGTTTATTTTGTTTTTAGTTATAATTTAGACACTTGAAAATTCTCCTCTGTTTATGATAGTTTTCCCTTCCTCATATGCCCAGGATTGTATAACATTCTTTTGATTTTTTTTCTAATGTCCATAGCAGGGTTTTTTTACATTTACATCTTTACGCATCTGATTTAACTTTAAAGACTCATTTTATTTTATTTTATTTTATTTTATTTTATTTTATTTTATTTGAGACAGAGTCTCACTCTGTCGCCCAGGCTGGAGTGCAATGGCCGGATCTCAGCTCACTGCAAGCTCCGCCTCCCGGGTTTACGCCATTCTCCTGCCTCAGCCTCCTGAGTAGCTGGGTCTACAGGCGCCTGCCACCACGCCCAGCTAGTTTTTTGTATTTTCTTAGTAGAGACGGGGTTTCACCGTGTTAGCCAGGATGATCTCGATCTCCTGACCTCGTGATCCGCCCGTCTCGGCCTCCCAAAGTGCTGGGATTACAGGCTTGAGCCACTGCGCCCAGCCTAAAGACATTTTAAAATTTAGAAAACCTCTGAGTTAAATGTGAAATTATATACAATATTGGTGTGATAAGTAGACTTTTAGCTTCTGAGTTTGTGTGAGCACAGATGTGCACGTGTGTTGTATCTCTTTTGATCAATGTAATTTTATTATGTATGTATGGTTTTCATGTGGATGACATTTGTCAATCAAATACTGTAAAAGTAATGCCTTTTCTTGTCTAGTTGCTCTGGCTAGGCCTTCTAGTACTCTTGAATAAAAGTGTTGAAAGTGGGCATCCTTGTCTTATTCCAGACCTTAGAGGAAAGGCTTTCTGTTTTTCGCTATTCAGTATGATATTGGCTGTGGGTTTGTTTTACATACCATGCTGAGGTATATTCAGCATGCTGAGGTATATTCCTTCTATACTCAGTTTTTTGAGAGTTTTTATTATGATGCAATGTTGAATTTTATTGAATACTTTTTCAGCATCTGTAAAAAGGGTCATGTGGTTTTTGTCCTTCATTCTGTTGATCTGATGTGTCACATTTATTAATTCATGTGAATTAAACCATCCTTGCATCCTGGGATTTATCCCACTTGATCATGATGAATGATCTTTTAAATGTGTTGTTGAATTTGGTTTAATAGTATTTTGTTGAGGATTTTTGCATCTATGTTCATCAGAAATACTGGCCTGTAGTTTTCTTTCTTTGTTTTGTCTTTGGTTTTGGTATCAGGATGATACTGGCCTCGTAGAATGAGTTTGGAAGTATTTCCTCCTCCTCGATTTTTTTTTTTTTTAAATAGTTTGAGTACAATTGGCATTAGTTCGACTTTAAATGTTTGATAGAATTCAACAGTGAAATAGTCAAGTCTTGGGCTTTTCTTTATTGAGAGACTTTTAATTACTACTTCTATCTTGTTACTTGTTATTGGACTTTTCAGGTTTTGGATTTCTTCATGGTTCAATCTTGGTAGGTTTTTTGTGTCTAGAAAGGTGTCCCATTTCTTCTAAAGAAATAAAGAGCATCCAAATTGGAAAGGAAGAAGTCAAATTATCCTTGTTTGCGGATGATATGATCTTATATTTAGAAAAACCTAAAAACACCACCAAAAAAAGTTCAGTAAAGTTGCAGGATACAAAATCAACGTACAAAAATCAATAGCTACAAATGTAACCCCATTTACAGTAGCTACAACTAAAATATCTAGAAATATCTAGAAATAAACTTTACCAAAGAAGTAAAAGATCTCTCCAATGAAAACTATAAAAACATCGATGAAAGAAATTAAAGAGGACACAAAAACAAAGATATATTCCATGTTCATATTAATTGGAAGAATCAATGTTGTCAGAAAGTCCACAGTCCCCAAAGCGTGTGCAGATACAGTGCAATCTCTATCAAAATACCGATGACATTCTTCATAGAAATAGAGAAAACGGTACTAAAATTCATGTGGAACTACAAAAGATCAATAATAGTGAGTGAAGGCAATCCTAAGCAAAAAGAACAAAGCTGGAGGCATCCCTCCTGACTTCAAATAATATTTACAAAGCTGTAGTAACTCAAATAACATGGTACTGGCTCAAGTGACCCACCCACCTTGGCCTCCCAAAGTGCTGAGATTACAGGTGTGAGCTACCACATGCAGGGAGAACAGTATGGAAGTTTCTTAAAAAATAATAAAAGTAAAAAAGAGATAGACCAGTGGAACAGAATAGAGAACCCAGAGATAAATCCTTGCATTTATACTCAACTCATTTTCAGCAGAGGTGCCAAGAACACACAACAGAGAAAGGACAGTTCAATGAATGGTATTGAGAAAACTGGATATCCACATTGCAGAAGAATGAAACTAGACCCCTGTGTCCCACTATACATAAATCACATCAAAATTGATTAAAGACTTAAATCTAAGACCTCAAACTATCAAACTACTACAAGAAAATGTTGGAGAAACACTTTCTAGGACGTTGGTCTGGGCAAAGATTTCTTGAGTAAGACCTCAAAAGCATAGGCAGCCAAAGCAAAAATGGACAAATGAGATCACATCAAGCTAAAAAGTTCCTGTACAACAATGGAAATAGTCAACAAAATGAAGAGACAACCCACAGAATAGGAGAAGATATTTGCAAACTACCCATCTGATAAGGGAGTAATAACCAGAATATATAAGTCACTCAAAAAATTCTATAGGAAAAATAAGTAATCTGATTTAAAAGTGGGCAAAAGATCTAAATAGACATTTCTCAAAAGAGGAGATACAAATGGACAACACGTATGTGGGAAAATGCTCAACATGACTAGTTATCAGACAGATACAAATTAAAACTTCAGTGAGATATTATCTCACCCCTGTTAAAATGACTTTTATTTAAAAGACAGGCAGTAACAGGCAAAAAACAAGAATGCTGGCAAGGATGTGGAGAAAGAGGAACAGTTGTACATTGCTGATAGAAATATAAATTTTATTTTAGTTTAGTTTCGTTCTTTATTTTAGCTTAGTTTATTTAGTTTGGGTATTGTATTGTAGTTTGGGACTGGGTTTCCCTCTGTTTCCCGAGCTGGAATACAGTGGCGCAATCACGGCTCACTACAGTCTTGACCTCCGGGGCTTAAGCAGTCCTCCCACCTCAGCCATCCAAGTACCTGGGACTATAGGCACATGCCACCATGCCCAGCTAACTTTTATCTCCCTATGTTGCCCAGGCAGGTCTCAAACTCCTGGGCTCAAGTCACCTACCCTCCTTGGCTTCCCAAAGTGCTGAGATTACAGGTGTGAGCCACCACATGCAGGGAGAACAGTATGGAAGTTTCTTAAAAAATAATAAAAATAAAACCACAATATGATCTAGCAGTCCCACGGCTGGGTATATATCCAAAAGAAAAGAAATCAATATATTGAAAAGATATCTGCACTTTCATGTTTATTGCAGCACTATTCACAAAAATCTAAGAGATGGAATATACCTAAATGTCCATCGGCGAATAATGGATAAAGAAAATGTGGTACATACACACATTGGAATATTATTCCACCATAAAAAGGATGAAATCCTGTGGTTTGCAACAACGTGGATGGAACTGGAGGACGTTATGTTTAGTGAAACAAGCCAGTAACAGAAAGAAAAAGATTGCATGTTCTCACTAATATGTGAGACCTAAAATAATTGAACTTGAGATAGAGAGTGGAATAATGGTTACCATAGACTGAGAAAGGTAGTGGGGGGTTGAGCAGGGAAATAAAGAGGAAATAGTTGAAGGGTACAAAAATACAGTTAGTGCAAGAATAAGATCCAGTGTTAGGCAGCACAATAGGGTGACTGTAGTTAACAATAATTTATTGTATATTTCAAAATAACTAAAAGAGTAGAATTGGAATGTTTCTAACAGAAAGAACTGATTGACATTTGAGGTGACAGATACCTCAGTTAGCCTGATTTGATTGTTACACATTGTGTGCTTTTATCAAAATATCACATGTACTTCATAAAAATGTACAACTATTATGTATTCATAATAATTAAACATTTAAGAAATTAAAAATTCAACAGCAGGCCAGATGTAGTGGCTCACTCCTGCTGGCAGGCTACGGCAGGTGGATCTGTTGAGGCCAGGAGTTTGAGACCAGCCTGGCCAACACAGTGAAACCCCATCTCTACCAAAAATACAAAAATTATTCAGGCACGGTGGCATGTATCTGTAATCCCAGCTACTAGGGAGGCTGAGGCACGAAAACCACTTAAACCCTGGAGGTGCAAGTTGCAGTGGGCTGCAGTGGCACCACTGCACTCCAGCCTGGACAACAGAGCAAGACTGTCTCAAAAAAAAAAAAAAATGTTCAGCAGCAAAAAAAAGTAATGCTAAAAGTTTCCAAATTTGGCACTTTTAAAAATAGGCTCCCTTCGTAGATAGTGATGGTAATGGTCACACAACATTGTGAATGCACTTAATGCCACTGAATTGTATACTTTAAAATGGTTAAAATAGTGAATTTTGTTCATGTGTATTTTACCACAAGTAAAAGAAAGACTCCCTATTATCACACTGGGGATTAAGCTAAAAGACACATGAATAAATAAATTAAATGGATTCCCTTAAAACTTTACAATTTATGTACTTATAGATTACATTTCTCTGTTGTGCTTATAACTAAATCTATAATACTATTTTTCAGACAGCTTTTTGTTGGCATATTTATTTATAAGATACTTTTTTAATGCTACTAAATATTTAATGCTACTAAAATGTCTGAATATAGTAATATAATGAAACATTACGTATGTTTCATTTTTTAGAAAGTTTTTGTTTGAATAATGTAGTTTAGGTAGCTTTTTTTTTTTTTTGCACTTCCACCTTTTTTGTCAATAATGAAAATTCTTTATTTCAGCTGAAGAAAATCCGATCACTGCTTGTTGCTGGAGCTGCACAGTATGATTGCTTTTTTCAACATTTACGCTTGTTGGATGGAGCACTTAAACTTTCAGCTAAGGATCTTAGATCCCAGGTGGTTAGAGAAGCTTGTATTACTGTAGCGTAAGTATATTCCTTTTATGATAAGTGTTTTTTATGAATGAATTTAGTACTCACTGATTCAGTGCTCATTAAGTCAAGCAGTAGCAAGATAGCCAAAAAAGTAGGTGATCCAAAAATCATTTTTGTTATACATAAGGAGTCAATCTGTATGATTAAAAAAAAATTCCTTAACAGCTCTTTATACCAACATTTTAAGGTTGGTATAAAGATATTTAAAATATCTAACGCCTACTGGTGGATTTTTTATCATTAATTCTTCAAGTATAAGATGAAAATGAATGGGTATGGAACCTGGCTGTATTCACTTTTCTCACTATTAATTTGGATATTAAATACTCAATTTCTGATATTTTAGCAGTTATTCTGGCATTGCAACATGCATCATTAACTTAGCAAAATCTAAACTTTAAGTTTGTAGTCTTCCACTATACAAGGATGGTAGAACTTAAATTCTATTTATTACTATTTTTGACCTAAGCAGTGTTGTTGCATATGCATTCCTTTGAAGATAGGGAACACAAAAGTGCCTACTAGCAATATTTCTAATCAGGATTGTTTTATATATTCTAGTCAGAAATGAAGAAAGAAAAGGCAATATAAGGATTGCAAGAAAAGGAACAGAACTGCCATTATTAACAGACGATATAACTATCCATGCAGAAAACTGCAAGAGAATCTACAGATAAATTATTATAATAAAGGGACTTTGGCAAAGTTGCAAGATACAAGTCCCAGTATACCAAAATGGCCCAATATCTCCAACTAGCAAAGAAAACCCAAATTAATACAAAAATCCATAAAATGTAACCATGAAAAATATACTTAAAACATGACTAGCTCTCTTGCAGAAAACTGGACAATATATGTGAAACATCTGTTTCCAGATAACAGACAGCAGACAGGGTAGGAATGGAATTCTGAAAAGATGCAAGTGATGTTGAACAGTATGAGTTTTGACCTGGAGGCACTCTGGGGAAGGAAGGGGGAACCTAAGCAGAGCAAGGCAATCTCACTGAGGTGAGGAAACAGAGACTAGAGTTTCAGAGGCTGAAGTGGTCAAAATCGGCAGTGCGGAATACTGGAGAGAAGATGGGGAGATTCTCTCTCACACACACACACACACAAAGAGCTACAGAGATCGTAATATGGGAATCCATGAGTCTAGATGTATACTTCCCTGTCCATGTGAAAGGTACAACTCTGAGGAAGGAAGGGAACTAATGCCTGGGAGCTATAAGGTAAACAATTCCCAGAGCTCACATAGGGATAGGAGAGGTTTAAGATCTGACCAATCAGAATGGAAAAACCTTGGTGAACACCCAAGGCAGTCAGTAGAAACCCCGGAAAGGCCATTGCATAGGAATAGTACTAAACCAGTTCTAAAGTAAGGCATCTCTAGACTCTGCCTCTCCCAACAAGCTTATAAAGATCAAGCTGATTCTCAAGTACATTACCTGTCTACTAAAGTAAAACTCATGCTCTTTAAAGGAAGACAACATCCAAACATATCCACACCTCCCTGCTTTTCATTTGAGGATCCTTTTTGCCTGTGAGTTCAGACATTAGGAAACTAATACTGTAACAGCATAGGTCTATGTACATAAATGTACATGGGTCTAAATCTGAGCTCCTGGAATCAAGAACCTGAATTATTGGAGCTAACTCTATCCTAACCATGTATTTTCAGTAAGATATAAATATATAAAAATTAACCAGTATTACAAAATTGTTGGCACTTTCCCTCCTAAGTGTTTTAACTAAAATCATGCAATTAAAGGCTGATTTAGTTGTTTAACTACACAATTGGAAAGAGAAGTCAGATGTCCTAAAGATCACCCAATAAGATATGGTAGAGTTGTATTTTTGACTGTGGATTTGGAAATCCTACTCCAAAGAAGTAAGGGAGTATTTATGACTAAAAAAGGGGTGATACTATTAATAGAAATAAAGAACATCTTGAGGAGCATTGATTTGAGTAAGATTTTGAACTTGTTGGTAAAAATATGCTGAATTTAAGATTGATAATGGATCATCAAAATGGAAGTATCTCCTGGATCAAGACCAAAGGTCAGAACCATCAGAGCTGATTATTTCACCTGATGTGTCCTTAGAGTTAATAATTAAATTCTGAAATCAAATGGCTTCTCCAAGTGCTATTGCAAAGAGATGAGGAAAATGCCAGATTTCAACTTTGGACTTGCCAGTTAAACAATGGGGAAAAGAAGGAAATATGTAGTATCTAGGTTTCCCTATCTTTCTTCCGTTTTTCTGCCATTCTGCCATTACAACTGATTAAAATACAAATTCCTAGGTTAATTCAGTAAAAGAGTATTTTAAAATTATATGGTTCTATCTATATTTTATGTTAAACTATTAAAAAAATACTTTTTGTCTTCCTTTGTAGCCACCTTTCAACAGTTTTGGGAAACAAGTTTGATCATGGCGCTGAAGCCATTGTACCTACACTTTTTAATCTTGTCCCCAATAGTGCAAAAGTCATGGCAACTTCTGGATGTGCAGCAATCAGATTTATCATTCGGGTAGGTTTGCTCTCTCCTTTTCCACTGCTGCCTCCTCCGCCTCCCTGGCTTTTTCTTTCTTCTTCTTCCCCCTTTTTCTCTCCTTTCCCCACCCCACCCCCCTCTCTCAGTGTACCTAAGTAAGTCACTGAGTTTCTTTTTGAACCCCAAAGACAAATCATTTTTGAATTATTTTTCTGATAGTAAAAGCCATAGATGGTCGTTATAGAACTAGAGGATTGCAAAGTACACATGTTTGTATATGGAATATAATACATACATACGTGTACATATGAATACATGTACGTATCTACAGTTACGTGTTACAGAAAATAATAAAAGGCAGATTTTTAATATAGTTATGTGCCATCTGACAAAGTTTCAGTCAATGATGGGCTGCATATGCAACAGTGGTCCCATAAGATTATAATATTATATTTTTACTGTATCTTTACTACTTTACTACTGTTGGATATGTTCAGGTACACAATACTTAGTATTGTGTTACTCTGTCCTAGAGTATTCAGTACAGTAATATTCAGTACAGTATTCAGTACAGTAATTCAGCTACAGATTTGTAGCCTAAGAGCAATAGGCTATAACATACAGCCTAGGTGTGGAGTAGGCTATACCATGTAGGTTTATGCAAGTACACTCTATGATGTTCATATTATGATGAAATCACCTAATGGATTTCTCTGAATGTATCCCGATCGTTAAGTTATGTATGACTGTATTTCTCTTCACTCATATCTTGAGGAAGTCCAAAAGAACAGAGTTGAAAAAACAAATCTCTCCCCTTGAATTCTATTCCTTTGTTACTAATCACTCTAGCAATTTAATGTGTACTTTTCCAAACTTCTATTCTGTGCCTTTACAAATGTATTTGCTACACATATAGAACATGTAAGTATATATAATATATTCTTTGACTTATTTATTTATTTATTTATTCATTTAGAGATAGAGTCTCACTCTGTCACCCAGGCAGGAGTGCAGTGGCGCAATCTCGGCTCACTGCAACCTCTGCCTCCCGGGTTCCCACAATTTTCCCACCTCAGCCTCCTGAGTAGTTGGGACTACAGGCACCCACCCCCATGCCCGGCTAATTTTTTTGTATTTTTGGTAGAAACAAGGTTTCACCACGTTGGCCCAGGCTGGTCTCAAACCCCTGGCCTCAAGTGATCCGCCTGCCTCAGCCTCCCAAAGTGTTGGGATTACAGGCGTGAGCCATCATGCCCAGCCTGTCTTCTTTTTAAACTTCATATACTTGGGTAGCGTCCCTTATCCATATATGTAATTCTTTTTAATGTCTAAATTAGTCTTCTGTTAAGGATATATCATCAAATTATCCTTACCAGACCGGGCACGGCAGCTCACGCCTGTAATTCCAGCACTTTGGAAGGCCGAGGCAGGCAGATCACCTGAGGTTGCCAATTCGAGACCAGCCTGACCATCACGGAGAAACCCCATCTCTACTAAAAATACAAAATTAGCCAGACGTGGTGGCGCCTGCCTGTAATCCCAGCTACTCGGGAGGCTGAGGCAGGAGAATCGCTTGAACCTAGAGGCAGAGGTTGTTGTGAGCCGAGATCATGCCATTGCATTCCAGCCTGGGCAACAAGAGTGAAACGCCATCTCAAAAAAAATAAATTAATTAAATAATCATAATAATAATTATCCTCACCATTCTTATTCTTGCAGTCTTCTTCCTGGAGTCCTTTTTCTCCATTCCTTTGCCAATATTGTCTTTTATCAGTATCTTTAGGGTTTTATAATTTAATAATCATTATTTCATATTATACTTTGCATCCCTAGTATTAGGGATGTTAGCTATTTTTTTCCTTCTGTAATTCTATGGATTGCCAGTTTATACTCTGTGCATTTTTTCTCACTTATTTCTAAGACCTTTTTATATATCATAAGGATATTAATTCTGTGTTATATATGTTGTGGTATTTTCTACAGTCTGACATTTCTTCAAACATTATATAAGCTCTTTTGTTACATATCAGAATTTTAAATGTGTATGTGTTGAGACTTGTTCATTTTGTGGGTTTTATTATAGTTAAGACAGCTTTCCCAATTTCACAGTTACATAAAAATGTTCAATCATTTAGAACTTCTGTAATTTTTTTCTTAGGTTTAGATCTAACTGGATTTAATTTTTGTGTGATTTATAGATTTCTAACTTGATGTTTCCCCAATACAAAACCAGTTGACCTAGTAGCATGTGGTGAATTACAATGTAGCTTTTTCTTGAAATGGTGTTTTGTGTAATAAATTTTCATAAGTACGTAAGTCTGTTTCTTAAATGTATTTTCAGTTTCTTTAATCAGTTTGTCCTTTCCTGTTAAAAAAAAAATTAAGTTTATTCGTAATATTACTTTCCCAGGAAGTGTTCTTTTTCACCATTTTCATATTTTAAATTAGAAAATGGTCCTTTTTTCCCATTTCAGGCTTTTTTTTTTTTTTTTTTAAAAAGATTGTAGACAACCTTAATCCAGAACCTTTGTAATAATGTCAGAAAGTATAGAGGCTGGGCACGGTGGCATATGCCTGTAATCCTAGCACTTTGGGAGGCTGAGGCAGGCGGATCACAAGGTCAGGAGTTCGAGACCAGCCAGGCCAATATGGCGAAACACCATCTTTACTAAAAATACAAAAAAGTTAGCCAGGCGTGGTGGTGCATGCCTATAATCCCAGCTACTCCGGAGGCTGAGGCAGGAGGATTGCTTGAACCTGGGAGGTGGAGGTTGCAGTGAGCCAAGATTGTGCCACTGCACTCCAGCCTGGGCGACAGAGTGAGACTATCTCAAAAAAAAAACCAAAGGAAGTATAGTAGGGATTATTGAAATGTTTGTTTTATCCCTTAATTGGGTGGGATCATATTTAACTTCAATTAAATATGATTTTTAATGGGTTTCTGTGGATATTGTATATTAGATTATGGAAATTTCCTGCTGTTCACATTTTGCTAAATTTTGATCAGGAGTAGATGTTGAATTTTATCAGATAGCCCTTTAATATCTTTAGAAATGATTATCTTTGTTTTTTCATTTATTCATTATACATTCAAGAACTAAATTCTGCTCGGCCATTGTACATTAAGATACTGCTAGATTTGGTTGGCTAATGTTTAGTAAGATTTTGACATTCATTTAAATGAATAAGTATTTTGTGAATTTTTTTTCCTGTTTTGCATATTTTGTTAATATATTGTTCTGCTAATAGGGTTTAATGGTCTTTAAGATTATATAATAATATTTCCAATGTTTTAGACTCTGGGCATCTTGAATCTTTATTTTGAAATGTTGGTGATCCTCTCACCTCAGCTCCCAAGAAGCTGGGATTACAAGTGTGAGCTACTGCACCTAGCTGAATTTTTCTTATTAGAATGTTATGTATTCTTTTATATATACTTGACAGAGGCATTATTTGGGGTTCTTTATAAACATCTATTTATAGTTTCATTGGTTGTAGTGAGATTGTTTAATTTTTCTAATTCTTTAGTTTCTTTTTTTTTTTCCAACTTTTGGCTCATTTTATTTTTTTAGATTTTTGTGGTATATCTTTAGACAATTTGCATTGCTTTTTCTTTATTATTATAAGGCTTTGGGTTTTCTTCTGAGTTTGGCTTTGGCAGCATCTCGATTTAAATTTACCACATTTTATTTATGTTTTCAATCATTTGTAATTTGCATTTCAACTTCTTTGAATTGCATAATAATGTTTTCATTTTCAGATGGTGCTTTTGTTCTTACTGTCATTATTTTTGAATTTCATGACGTTCTGATCAGGGAATTTGGTTGTATGATTTATTCTTTGGTGAATACCTTGAAATTTTATTTGTGTTCCGTCATCAGTTTATATAGGTAGGCTGTTAGCATTTACAAATGTGGAATTCTTTGGCATAGAATCGAGTACTTTGTTCATCACTAAATCTAGCTTATGTTTTATTTACATTATTCAAGTTCTTTATGGTCTCATTTTTTTAAAAATCTACTTTATCTGGCAAATTCTGATTCTAATTTTGTCAGTTTCATTTTTCTAACTGTTCTTGATATATGTACTTTATGTATGGTCAAGGTTTTTTACTATTATCTTGAAATCGTATTTTTTTCTTATAGTCTGCTTTCTGTTCACTGTGCTGCTTTTCTTTCCTTTTTTTTTTTTTTTGTAATTTAGAAGTTCCTTATTGTCAAGAATAAAACCTTTGTTATGCTCGTCTCTGCCTTTTAAAAAGTATGCATTTTATTTCATTCATGCCATTTTTTCCCTTACCCATTGAATTAAATTTAACAAAGATATTTTCATTTTCAGCAACTGTAATTAACTGTAGTTTTTTACTACTTTTATTTCTGACCCACTTATTGTTATACTCTCGCTTCCCTTTTTTTAATTGATTCTGGGTCATTCTTGTTTGGCTTTAGTGTTTTCTCACTTTTCATATATGTTTTTATCTTTGTATATTTTGATTTGTCTTTTCCTTGCCAATTTAGAATATGGGGACTAAAAATTTGACCGTTGAACTTCAGGTTCGCTTTCCTTTTCTTTCACAAATTTTGTTGTTGTTGTTATAGAGTCTCGCTCTGTTACTCGGGGGAATTCAGTGGCGCCATCTCCACTCACTGCAACCTCTCCCAGATCAAGCTATTCTTCTGCCTCAGCCTCCCAAGTAGCTGGCTTTTCAGGCACCTACCATCACGCCTGGCTAATTTTTGTATTTTTAGTAGAGGTGAGGTTTCACTATGTTGGTCAGGCTGGTCTCAAACTCCTGACCTCATGGCTCACGCCTGTAATCCCAGCACTTTGGGAAAGCGAGGCGATCCGCTTGCCTTGGCCTTCCAAAGTGTTGGGATCACAGGCATGAGCCACCATGCCCAGCCCATTTTCTTAACTTTTTATTGTTGCCTCTAAAAATGAGACTGTTTGATTATTTTATAGCAAAACAACCACCACCATGACCAAACAACCTTTAGGAAGTTTTATAAGGCAGTCCCTTTGTGTGAAGAGTTTCCCCACAGCAGGTCTAGGAGTTGATCGTCTTTCATTAATACTATTCTTAATACAGTGGACAAGGATTTTGTACTGAAATTGGTTATCTTAAATTTATGTTAATTTTCATGGATCTTTTCTTTATTTAGTACTTCTGTCTTATTGGCTCAGATCTTTTCCTGCTGTTACTTTTGTTACACAAATTCTGAAATCCTCAATGTCATTTATCATTTTTTGAATAACTTTTTGTCTCTTTGTCTTACAGCTGTGTGTATTTTCAGGAAAAATTCCTTTAAATTCTACTTATTTGAAAGTACCCATTTTGTAATTCTCAGGCTTTACTCTTTATACTTTGTTTTCAAATTGCTCATTTTTCATGTTACTATACTAGCCTATCATCTCACCAATAAAACAACAATTTTTAAATATTACCTCCTGTTTTTGTTTTATTTCCTAAGAGTACTTCCTTAGATTGCTGTATTTAATTTCTAATTCTCTTTTTAATTTTAGAGAGGCTTTTTTTCCTGTTGTCAACTTGTATTAATAGTGTAAATTGTTCTTAGTGTTTGATTGAATGCTTCATCTGTAATTGATTTGAGGTAAATTTTTACTTTCCTTTGGTACAGCTCCCCCTGGATATGATGTAGCAGTAGTTAGGTTAGTTTATCTCTCCATCCTTGCCACTGTCATGGATGTGATTAACCCATCTTTAGGATTTCGGAGAGGTTAGAAGAAAAAGAGAGGAGTGTGGTGGGTAAGACCTCCTTTATAGTTGTTGTAGCTAGGGGATCTCCATGGGTTTTACCTCCACAGTAATGTTTGGGAAATGGGCTCTTGTGGATGCTGTAGGGAGCAGGTCCACAGAGTCCTTCCATGCTGAATTGAACAGTTGACTAACAGGCATGTCAGCACACTTTCTTGAATTATTCTCATCTTCAACAGCTTCAAGCCTATAGATGGTTTCTCTCTGTAGTGGCTGAAAAAACGTTTTTCCTTTTATTTTGGTTGAGTTAGCTGTGGCAAACGCTGCTGTGCCATATACACTTTCCTTCAATGAAAGACTTGTTTCCCCAATGCTAGGAGAACTGTTAGTAGACAGCCTTCAGCTGCCAGTCTCCTAAAGGATTATTTCAGCTAGAGAGCTGCCTTTCCCAAGGTCTTGTGCCTTCCCAGTATTGCCCATATCCAATAACTGATTGATGTGAAAGTATAAAGGTTTGGCCGTCTTGGACCAATTCAAGAGTATTCTGAGGGACTGTTTCAGTTCTAGAGCTTCGTAATGGCTTTGGGCAAAGATAGCCTTGGGCCATGTCACAGTTTGATTTCTTCCTCTGCCCGCTCCACTCCTGCTTCCTTCTCCCGTCCACAGGTGGTAATCCCAAGGGCACTTAACAAAAAATTAATATGTAATGGATGTACATATTTTGGGGGTATATGTGATATTTTAATGCATTCATATGTGTAGATGTCCAATTAGGGTAACAGGGAATTAATCACCTTAAATATTTATCTTTATGCTAGGAACATTCTAATTATTCTCTTTCAGCTATTTTGAAGTGTACAATAGATTGTTGTTAACCATGGTCAACCTACTGATCTGTTGAACACTAGATCTTATTTGTTCTAACTGTATACCTATTAATCAGTCCCTTTTCCCTCCCTCCTCCCTGCTATCCTTCCTAGCCTCTGATCATGACTAACCTATTCTCTATCTTCATGAGATCCACTTTTGTTTATCTCCCACATGAGTGAGAACATGTGATATTTGTCTTTCAAGGGCACCTCCTAATACATATCCTGCATGCTAAACTCCATCTCATAGCCTGCTTCCTAGATAACCCAGCCTGTACCATTAGCTCAGAAGGAATACAAGAGATTTAAGGAATTAAATATGTATGCTTGTGTTAATGTCTATTATGAACTTGTTAGTGTTGGCTTCACTAAAGAAGGGTATAAGAATTAATAATAGAAATCAGAAGATTATGTCTTTGTGGAACTTCTACTTGAATTCTAGAGAGAGATGATTCAGCCAGAATGAAGTGAAAGTTCTATTAAGACCACCATTTCAAAGTGGATTCCCAATAGTTAGGGAAATAGATTCACTCGACTACCTGCTTTGATGACGTTGCAATTATGATTTTTTACCAGCAGTAGCCATAGTACTTCAGAAAATGTGTCCAATACATGCCCAGTCTCTTTTAGTGCTCCCTCTCCCCCAGAATTATATTGTCCTAACAGTTCTTTGCGGTTACACAGTTAACTTTTCTTTGTTAGGTCATGTTATATCCACACCTGTCCTTTTGAAACTGTATCATCATGACATTATGTTAATTCAGGAAAACGTTTCCAAACTGGTCTTAATTCTTTCAAATCTAATACCTGGTCTTTTTGTCCTCTGTAACTAAATACTTGAATGTAAGGCAAATAGAAGAAAGGACCACTTGAAGTGTGTAGTATTTTCAACCTTTTCTAAAACATCTTTTTCAGCATACTCATGTACCCAGACTTATACCTTTAATAACAAGCAATTGCACATCAAAATCAGTTCCCGTGAGGAGGTAAGTTTAATTTTTGTTGTTGTTGTTGTTAGTATAGCGCTGATACTGCATTGTTTAATTATTGGTCTGGTGCAAGAATTGGTCATTAATTTCTTGCCTTCCAGAAAACCATAAAAAAATTTTTTTTTAAATCATATCTCATGTAAGGGAAAAGGGATGAAGTGATTATTATAACCACCCACTTTTCTTATTTTATCATATTAAGCTTTGGTTTATTTGGGCTGCTGGTTGCCTTGGTTTTCAGAGAACAAGGAATACAGAGTCAGGTCTGGGCTAGAGTCCTACAACTGCCATTGACTGTTCTACCTTAGGCAATTATTTAACTGCTCTGAACCTTAGTCCCTGCATAGGTTAGTAGAGCTAATAATGTCAAACCCATAGAACATAAGGATTAAATGAGATACATACTAGTAGAATATAGCCGGTGTTTGGAACAGAGTATATAGCCCTATCAGGTCTTTCAGTTAGTGTCTGCCTCTGTCTCTGGTTTCTACAATTTTTAATGTCACACCTGTCAACCTAAATAACAGAGAGGTTCTCTGAAAGAAAATGATATTAGTATTTATGCAGGAATGAGCAGTGCAGTGGTAATATGCATACAATAGCAAACTATGTGCATATTCAGGGAGGTAAAGGAAGACAAAGGTTTTTAAAGGAAAAATGAGGAAGATTACATAATCATTTTGAGGTAGTTATCCCGGGCTACAAGGATCAGTAACAAGGGTGATGCCAACTTGAGGCTGGACAGGCAGTTGCTGGGTAGATGTCCTTGTAGAATTTTTGTTTGTTTGTTTTTTGTAAGGTTGCGATAGCCTTTGTGCAGGTTGTGTTTTTTTGGAGTCTTTTGTGATAGCTCTTGTTATCAGTCATTTATTCATGAGAATTCTCCCTTAATGGCCTTCCTCAGCTCTATTTGTCAATTTTTTTTGTGTGTGTGTGTGTGTGTTGTAACACAAGTGACTTCATTCTGATTCTGACAACTTTCACACCACTATTGCCAACAATAAAGTTAGGAAAAACAGATTTGTACATTTGATGTTTAAGAAGATTGTAAAGAACTCTACCTTTTTAAATTAGATAACTATAATTAAATACTGTGTTAGGAAGAAGCTGAAATAAGACATTGTTATTTTAAGTGGTTCAAACTTTTGACAACAGTTGTTCAGTCATCTGTCTTATGTCAGGGGTCAGCAAACAACAGCTTGCAGGTAAAATGTGGCCAACAGTCTGGTTTTGTACAGCCTACATGCTAAGGGTGTTTTTTACATTGTTAAAGGGTAATTTAAAAGGTAGGGGATGGGAGGTAAAGAATATGAGACAGAGACTATATGTGGTCCACAAAGCTTAAAATATTTACTGTCCAGCCCTTTACAGAACAGTTTAACTGACCCCTGTCTTACATTGAGGAAAATGGTAGTTGGAGAAATAAGAATGTGACAGAAGACAAAATCAGAAGATGTGTCATAGAATTGCCTTAAAAATGGTGAGCAATCCATTAACTATAGGGAGAGTGAGTGGAGTACAACCTAAGCAGAAATGTAAAGCTATGTCATATGCTGCAGAGCCATCAGATAGGCCTCTGAGGCCAGAACATATGACAAATGGAAGGTTTCAGTGGGAAAAGAACCTGGTTGAGGGCTGGGGAGTAGGTTGAGATCATAGTGTGGAGGGCTTTGAAAGTTATGAAGAGGAATTTTGACATTATTTCATAGATAGTAGGAATCTTTGACAGTTGTAGATTTTTGGTGAGGAGGTGATGTCCAAAGCTAATTTTTATTCCAGCTATGAAAGTGATTGAAAAGAAACTGAAAAGCATTGTTTAATTAGGTAGGAGTTGTTATAATTCATGGAAGAGAAAGGCAGAGTCTGAACTAGAACTCTGTGGAACTGTGTTGATAACTGAAGGTTTTTTTAATTAACAAATTCAAAACGTATTTCATGTGTAGAAATGAGACTTGGTAATTTTGAATATAGATGAGGAGAGTGGTGTCAAGTGCTTCAGACTGTGAGCTCTGGAGTCAGAATGCCAGGGTTTAAGTCCTAGCTCTATCACTTCGAGCAAGTTAATTTAACCTCCCCGTTTCTCATTGCCTAATCTGTAGTATATGAGCTAAAAGAGTAGATTTGAAAGGGTACGAATTAATTCGTTGTTTTCTGTGTAGTGTTTGAGTTGACATTCACTGCCTATGTGGAGACATCCATAAACTAGTTGGAACTTTGACAGCTGAAGTGACATACCAATGCTGGAGATACAGGACTAGATGTGGTAATTATATCTCGTAGGCAGAACTAAGAGTACAGATTATGTTGCCTCAGTAAAAAGACTGTAAAAAGATAAGTGGGCAAATATTGGTACCAACCAGGTGAGCATCTGTTTAAGGGAAAGTGGAAGAAAAAGTGTTAATAAAGGAAGAAATACAAGTCAAAGCTGTGTCATCAAGTGCCAAGGAAGGAGAGGAGCTCAAGTATGAGACAGTTGAAGAAACTGAGAAATAGAGGACTTAGGAGAAAATGTACACAAACTTTATGTAAAGTCATATACATACATATGTAAGGAAACAGTGTAAAAATGAAAGATCCAGATTGTTGTGGCTTTCTTGATCACTATTGTATATCTTCACTGTCAAGTGCATAGATGTTTAATAAATATTTTTAAATTAATAAATGAAACTTGTTACATTTTATTTATTTATTTTTGAGACAGTTTCTCACTCTGTTGCCCAGGCTGGAGTACAGTGGTGGGATCTCCGCCTCCCAGGTTCAAGCGACTCTCTTGCCTCCACCTCTCAAGTAGCTGGGAGTACAGGAGTACACCACCATACCCAGCTAATTTTTGTATTTTTAATAGAGACAAGGCTTCACCATGTTGGCCAGGCTGGTCTTGAACTCCTGACCTCTAGTGAACCACCCACCTCAGCCTTCCAAAGTGCTGAGATTATAGGCATGAACCACCGCACCCAGCCTTAAGTTTTGTATTTGACAAACATTTTAAGTTAAAATTATGGGGAACTCTTAAAGTCTTTTTGAACTGTTTAGCATAGCAGTAATTGGATCCTGAGTAAGTTAGGTATTCACAGCTACTTGGGAGGCCGAGACAAGAGAATCACTTGAACTTGGAGGCGGAGGTTGCAGTGAGCTGAGATTGCGCCATTGCACTCCAGCCTGGGCAACAAGAGTGAAACTCCGTCTCAAAAAAAAAAAAAAAAAAAGAGAGATCTAAAATCATGTCTTATGCTTTAATTTAGGGGACAAAGTGTAGTAGTATAAAAGAAAGTGTTAATGTATTTCTCAGTACAACATTTAGTTATCATTTAACTTTTATTTTTCAGACGTTCATTTGAATTTTTAGATTTATTGTTGCAAGAGTGGCAGACTCATTCACTGGAAAGGTATGCATTCCCTCTTCCTTCCTCACACTTCCCTCCCCATTGTCACCAGTTAGTTAGAAGTTGATGGTATTGGTTTTACATTATTTCTCATTTTGCTTCGAAGGTTATTTGTACTGGTTTTCCTTTAAAGCTGTGGTGGTGTTGTGCCCCTCTTACTCATTACAACTATGAATAGTATGATTTTCTTCTTTGTGAGATGGGTAAGGGTTTCTCAAATAGAATGGGTTATATAAGATACTCCAAGTTGAGTTGGGCAAAAGTTTAAAAATGTATCTCTAGTCATATGATATAAGTTTCCTAAGTGTAATCAATCATGTAATGAATGATTTAAGATGGAAGGAACCTCCTTTCAGAGGAAAGAGATTTTTAAGAAGAGGTATTTGTTGGGAAGTTTCTCCACACCAGCTGTTAGATGTCATTGATCAGGTATATACTGGGCAATGTCTAGTGTAACTCCGAAATGAAGGAGAGGAAAATGTGGGCAGCTGATTGGTTGCTGGCTATTTGCATGGCTATATTTCTTATTAGCTTCAAGTTTGAAGCTTGGAAGATACTGTATTTACCTTGAGTATATGACTGGTTTTTCATTTTCATGAAAATTCTTGAATTCTTAAGGCTCATTTTTTAAAAATAGAATTTGTTCAAGTTTTCTTTGCGTTCTTCTGTGGCAGCTACTATTCAAATTTGGTCAGATCACAACTGATCACACTTAGCAAATCATTTCTACAGTGGTGGATTAGTGAGGAACCACACAGAAGATTCTTTTTTCTCTAATTTATTAAAAATTAAAAATTTAGGTACTATATATTTATATACTATCTGAATTCCATATAAAAATAATTACTTTTAGATTTACAGTAATTGGATTGTCAGAAGGAAACCATACATTAATAAAACATATGGGACAGATAATTAGAAAATCTTATGGTCTTAGATTTATTATTGTGTACTAATTAATTTTTATTTACCTCGCCTACCCATTTGTAATTAATATGTAACATATAAGCAGTAAGTACCATTTGTGGTGAAACATACAGCTTTATCATAACTCTAAAAATGTATTTTATTTTATAGACATGCAGCCGTCTTGGTTGAAACTATTAAAAAGGGAATTCATGATGCTGATGCTGAGGCCAGAGTGGAGGCAAGAAAGTAAGTCAGTATAGTATATTTTTGTGACAGTTTAATCTGTTTTTAAAAAAACAAAAACAAAATGTATTGGGAGAATGAAAATATCAGAAGTGTCCAAGTATTTTACTTGACTAGCCCTCCAGTAAAATTAAGAATGTTTTTTCTCCACTACATCTGTGCTAGACATCTAACAGCCTCCTACATATTGCCACTGATGTATAATCATCAGTATTCTTTTTTTGTCATAACCTATTCACTTTCATCATGAATAAAAAGAACTGTCATTTATCGTTTGTATTGTATACCTGATATTGTTTGAGGTACTTGTTATATATTATTTTCTAATCCTTAGAATGATCCTCCAAAGATAGTGTTATCTCCATAGACGGCAACTGAAATTTGGACACTTAGGGGTTTACCCAAGGCCACACAAACCATAAGTGGCACAGCAGGTTTGGGACTGAGATCTGCTTTTCTCAACAGCCTTCAGTCTTTCCACTGGAACTTGTTCAATTTAGAAAGTGTTCACCTGATACATAGCAGATAATGCTGAAAACCAGTAGGCTTACCTTCATCCTTCTTGAATGCACATGTTACTGTTAATGTCTAATTATGTAAAGCTGTTACTTCATCTGCTTTTCTTTTTTTTAAAGGACATATATGGGTCTTAGAAACCACTTTCCTGGTGAAGCTGAAACATTATATAATTCCCTTGAGCCATCTTATCAGAAGAGTCTTCAAACTTACTTAAAGAGTTCTGGCAGTGTAGCATCTCTTCCACAATCAGACAGGTCCTCATCCAGCTCACAGGAAAGTCTCAAGTAAGGTCATATAAATGATGGTTACTAGTCTCTTCCTCTCCTCAGCTCCCTAAAGTTTCATAAGTTGGATACTTGAATATCTGTTTGCTTTCACCTAAAGCCTTGAAAGAATGATAACTCTAATATACTTATTTATTTTGGTCTGCTGTTTCAAGAGTTGGATAGCTTGCCAGCATAATTCCTTCTCTTTGGATAAAGAGTTCTATGATTCATATTTTGCTTCAATATGTTTATGTCTGTAAAAGTCTGGGAAGCACTACATTTTTTTTAATACCACAAAAATAGTACTTATAATAAATAACCCATTTAATGGAGGAATTGTAATGGAGATTCAGAAGTTATCTTGAGAATTCTACAACACTATGTGACTGGTAAAAAAAAAAAAAAAAAAACTCTACTACTTTTCTTCCTAACCTCTGACACAGCTTAAAAATTCAGGAAATCCCTCAAGGGACAACATTAGCTAGTATCTGACTTAGTTCTCTGCAACTCCATTCTCATCTTGATGTTGACTACCTCAAATCCTTACTACGTTAGCAACTGTAACCCTGTTTTCTGTCTCTCTGGCCCTATGAGATTGCTGAAATTCCTGATGCCTTCTCTACTTCCTAGCACTGGCCCTGTCCATCTTTGTGACCTCTTGCCCTGTGCCATGTATCTGCAGATTTCCCCCAGGGAAGAGCAGCTCAGAGAATGTCAGCCTAATTAGGCCAGACATGATAGCTCATGCCTGTAATCCCAGCACTTTGGGAGGCCAAGGCAAGCAGATCACCTGAGGTCAGGAGTTCGAGACTAGCCTGGCCAACATGGGGAAACCCCATCTCTACTAAAAATTAGCCAGACATGGTGGCGGGTGCCTATAATCCCAGCTACTCAGGAGGCTGAGGCAGGAGAATTGCTTGAACCTGGGAGGCGGAGGTTGCAGTGAGCTGAGATCGTGCCACTACACTCCAGCCTAGGCAACAGAGCAAGACTCTGTCTCCAAAAATCCTCTCTGTAATTTTTTTCTTTTGGGGATCTTGACCTCCACAAAGATTGCTGGTTGCCTTGGCAACTCTGATGCAGAACTGGGACCAGGGGGAGGCAAGGGGCCACCTAGGGTGCAGAATTTAAGCAGGCACTCACTGGGTCATTCAAATACTGTACTGAAGTTCAGTTTCTTGTAGGTTTTCAGAATAAAAGTAGATACAATCTGATTTCAAAAATAATTGTTGTAGGAATAATGACCTATCTAAACTTTTATTTAAATTTCTGTTTAAATTTCTGTTTAAATTTGTGATAAGTTCCTCATCTGAAATGAGCTGTCTTTGTTGCTTTTGTTCTCTTTTTATTAACTATGCTCAAACTTTAAAGTATACACGAATCACCTGAAGATCTTGTTAAAATCTGGAATCTGATTCAATAATTTTGGGGTGAGGCCTGAGATTTTTCATTTTTTGCAAGCTCCTAGGTGATGCTAAATGCTGTTTGTTCATGGACCATATTTTGAGTACAAAGGATCTAAAGGAAGATATTTTATATTGCTCTAATATAACATTTTAAAACATAAACAACTTTAGATTCTGTGAACCTTAAAGTGATCTGTCTCAATCTAAGAGAACAACAATTTTAGGAGACACTTACAAAAATAATATAATGTTAGCTTAAACATTACACGGACATTACAACCTTACAACTTAGGTGAGAGAGGCTTTGGTTATGCTGAGTTGCCTATGTGCTAGTGATAACACTACCCCTTTCTTCTTCTAAGTAAAATATCTCAGGATACAAGTGAATAATAATAGTACTGTTATTGAGTTCTCTTTGGTGGTCACCATGATGTGTGTTGAGGAGCAGAGTGAACAAAGGCAACGTGATCTCTGTCTCTGTAGAGCTTACAGTCTTTATTCACTGCCAGTATTTTATCTTTGCTTCATAGCTAATTGAGACACCATTGATATATGATGATTGGGAGGAACTGTTCTAATGCGATTTGTAAAAGGAGAGTTAAAATTAGAAGTACCAGCTAGGCATGGTGGTTCACACATATAATTCCAGCACTTTGGGAGGCTGAGGTAGGAGGATCACACTTGAGCTCAGGAGTTTGAGACCAGCCTGGGAAACATAGGGAAACCCGATCTCTGTTAAAAATTTAAAAATTAGCCATGCTTGGTGGCATGCACCTGCAGTCCCAGTAAACTTGAGAGGTTGAGGTGGGATGATCACTTGAGTTGGGGAGGTCAAGACTGCAGTGAGCCATGATTGTGACACTACACTTTAGCCTGGGTGACACAGCAAGGCTTTGTCTCAGAAAAATAAAAATAAAAAAGAAATACTTCTCAACTTTCCACAAAATTCAGTAGTATTTTATTGGTTTTTATCAGAGGAATGTTAAATTGTCTTCTTACTAAAAGCATTTTTTATACCTTGCAGTCGCCCTTTTTCTTCCAAGTGGTCTACAGCAAATCCATCAACTGTGGCTGGAAGAGGTAATTTCTCTTTAAGTAAGAGTTATAACCTATTTTATCTTTAAAACAGTAGCTTTCAAACTCTTTTGATGTGCTCCATAGTGAGAAGATCATTTTACATGGTAACCCGGTACCACACATAATGAACTTTACCTGTATATGTATACATGTATACATACATAATATAACCCAAAGTTGCAGGAAGCCATACTTTCTCTTACTTGTGATGCACTCTGCTTTCAATTGTTTCATTTCTTCATAATGGCTTCTCATGATGCACTCAGTTGATTTTACAGCTTATTAATGGGTCATAACTCACAGTTTATAAAACTCCTGACCAGACTGGCCAACGTGGGGAAACCCCATCTCTACTAAAAACACAAAAACTAGCCGGACATGGTGGCACATGTCCATAATCCCAGCTACTCAGGAGGCTGAGGCAGGAGAATCGCTTGAACCCAGGAGGTGGAGGTTGCGGTGAGTCGAGATCGCACCACTGCACTCCAGCCTGGGTGACAGAGCGAGACTCCATCTCAAAAAATAAATAAATAAATAAAAATAAAAAACTGAAAATCTAAAGACCAGAAATTGAATGACTTAATTTGCATTTCCACAGAGTGGCAGAACCTCCATTAATTTTTTAATATCTCTACTCCTGGACTAGTTTTTCTTGTATTTTTCTTATAGTAAAAAATGATACTGCTGCCTTCTATTTATCTTGTATAGTGCTTCCTTTGCATAAATCAGTCCTAAACATAATCTCTTCATCTACAAGACAGTCCTGTGAATTTTATAGTCAGAATGTTATCATTTTTCCCATTTGAAAGGAGAGGAATAAGGCAGAGAAATATTGAGAAAATTGCTGAAGACTTAGTTGTGATTGAAACTGAGGCATTCTAACTTTAAAATACTTAATAGTACTGTCCATTTGGCCACTGCCTTTTTGTTGACCATTTGTCTTCAGATTAACTCATGGTGGTCAGGTTTATATAATTTTCATGTTTTCAGTAATTTAAATGATACAGGTTACCTTTGCTTTGTCTTTCATAGTATCAGCAGGCAGCAGCAAAGCTAGTTCCCTTCCAGGAAGTCTGCAGCGTTCACGAAGTGACATTGATGTGAATGCTGCTGCTGGTGCCAAAGCACATCATGCTGCTGGACAGTCTGTGCGAAACGGGCGCTTAGGTGCAGGTGCCCTGAATCCAGGTTCCTATGCATCACTAGGTAAGACAACTGATTATGGAAAATTGTACCATGTTCTCTCCCTGATCTCTGTGAAGACAAGTTCATATACCTTAATCATTTCTATTCATTCTTGTTATTTAAGGATAGTCCATATGTTTAAATATAGTTCTGTATTGGGGACATGCTTCTGAGGAATCTGAGCTGCCTTGTTTCTTCTTTTCCCTTGTCTTCATCATCATCTTGATCAAAGCAACAATTCTTGAGTCCATGATTGCCTGTAGAGTTTTCATAACTGCACTTCTACCACATCTAGCCACTAGTTTCTAAGGGGGTTTGGGAAGGGAATTGGTCTTGTGTCTAGCTTTCTTGTTTTCTTTCTCCTACTTCTCTTTCTCTTATCAAGAATGTGAAGCCTTTTGGAGATCTGGGAGAATGGCAAAGCTCTACTCTGTCTAACCAAACCCTAAACATATATTCCAAAACTCTGTTCAGTTTGTTTTTTTCATGTTTTTATGTCCATCAAATTAAAAAGTTGAGGTTGGTTATCTGTATTGCATATCTCTTCATGCTTCTTTTTTTTTGGGGGGGGGGTAGTACTGGTGGAACACTAAGCAAACAAATGACCTGAACACAATACAAGTTGAGCATACCTAATCTAAAAAATCTGAAATCTGAAATGCTCCAAAATCTGAAACTTTTTGAGTACCAACATGGCACTCAGAGGTATTTCGAACCAAGGCGGGTGAATCACCTGAGATCAGGAGTTCGTGACCAGCCTGGACAACATGGCGAAACCCTGTCTCTACTAAAAATGCAAAAATTAGCTGGGCATGGTAACTCATGCCTGTAATCCCAGCTACTTAGGAGGCTGAGGCAGGAGAATTGCTTGAACCCAGGAGGTGGAGGTTGCAGTGAGCCAAAATCGTGCCATGCACCTTCAGCCTGGGTGACAGAGTGAGACTCCATCAAAAAAAAAAAAGGTATTTCGGATTTTGGATTTTTGAATTAACGATGCTTAGGCATGCTCAATCAGTTAAGTGTGAATGCACATATTTCAAAATCTGAAATCCTAAAATGTTTTTGGCCCCAAACATTTTAAATAAGGAGTACTCTTATAGATTAAGGTTTCTTATAGGTTAAGAAATGCAGAGAATTTAGGTATGAATATAGTACATGATAAAGTTGGCACAGCTGCATTTAGAACCGTGAAGAGGAGTAGATTATTCATTAAATTGTGTTTAGACACATGGTTTACAATCTGGTATAAAATTAAGTTAGAACCACGTTACACATCATATAGAATTATATTCTAGATGATAAAAACATTAAAAACATAAAGCAACTTGATGAAAACATAATAGGTGAGTATTCCTCAAATCTCAGGTTGACACAGGAATTCCTATACATAAAAGCAAATAAGCCATGAAGGACAAAAATCTCTTGAATTTAAATCTAAAGTATGAAAATACGAAATCTTAAGCAAAAACTAAAAGAGAAAAATATTTTGCCACATACTAGTAAAAAAGTTGAGAAGTTTTTCAAGTCCATTAAAAACAGATGAACTCTATATGTCAAGAAAAGCATGTATCACAATTGCCAACAAATACCAGAATAAATGTTGAGCCTTAGCTGTAATCAAACAAATGCAAATGGATAGACCTATAACTATAACAAGAAAGTTAAGGGTATTGCCTACTGTTTTCAAGAATGTGGTAAAAAGGGCCTCATCAGGCAACGCTGATGTGAATTAGTGATGGGACACTTTTTCTGAGTTCCAATTTGGAATTCCGTGAAGCATTTTTAAATCAGAATTTTTGCCCCAGTAATTCAATGTTTACATAATAACGTTTTTAAAAAGAATGTTCGTGTTTTTAATAACATTATTAGCATCAACCTTAATGTGTAACAGAGGGGATAGTTGAGTTATATTGTATCCTTATACATGTTGTGTGCAGCCATTAAAAAGTCATATTTTCAACAAAGATTGAATTATGCAGGCTACCAAATAGTATGTAGTAATTTCATCATTTTGTGTAAAATTATACATAGAAGAAGGACTGACGTGATATATTACAAAGGTGTTAACGGGGTTGATTACTGCTTTTAATTTTCAGAAAACTTTTTGTTTCAAAGCATTACATTGCCAAGAATGCAAGGTTATTTCAGTATGTGAAGACCAGTCAACATATGTACCATATTAATAGAAGAAAGATAAAAACCTCGTGATCATCTCAGTACCAGCAGAAAAAGCATTTGACAAAATTAAAGACCCTTTCATAATAAACATACTCAACAAACTAGGAACAGAAGTCATTTTTCTCAACCTGATAAAGAGCATCTTTGAAAAATCCACAGCTAACATCCTACTTGATGATTAAAAAACTGGATGTTTTTCCCTAAGATCAGTAACAAGACAAGAATGTGCACTCTTGGCTCTATTTAACATTACGCTGGAGTAATGTTAAATTGGAGGTGCTAGCCAGGGCAGTTAAGCAAGAAAAGAAATAGAAGGTATCCAAACTGGAAAGGAAGAACAAACTATCTCTCTTTGCAGAAAACACAATCTTGTGTTTAGAAAATCCTAAGGAATCCACTATATATATGTGTGTGTGTGTATGCGTATATATATATGAGCAAAACACATTACATTGAATATTATTTTTACAAGAAGAAAAATATTGTATTTAAAGTGTTTTAATGTGCACTAGAAAGCCAATTTGGAACACTATTTTTTTTGCGAGAACCTGTTGTTGTTCTTTAAGGTTTGAATTTCATGTTTCATTGTAAAAAGGAGAAATGCCACTACTTTTTTCTTTTCTTCATCTGATCCAGGTTCCCACTCAGGGACAATCAGATACCTGCCTGTGGCTTTTTCAGGGGTTGGATAAAGGATGTTCTCCTTCTTTTCCCTGCTTCCCTTTCTCCCTTTACCCCACCCTACCCGCTGTGTCTCATGTGCCCTTCTTACACACATAAGACTGATATAAACTCTGTTTTCTTCTACTTTGAGCCTCACTTATTATGGCTATACATATATGGATTAGAGGGAGTGTTCTATTAGTTTTCAACACACACTTACTTGAGCACTTAGTTTCTGCTAGGTACCAGGGATCCAGAGGTATATGCTTCTATACTGAATCTCTCAGTCTATTGGTAGGTTGCTGAAGGAGGAGCAGCTAAAAGTTTGTTGCGTTTTATGCATTTTGAGTTTGAGGTCCCTGTGAGACTTCAAACTGGCAGTTTTCAGTGGACCCTTGGTATACAGTAGTGTATAGAACTTGGCAGAGAGGCCGGCACAGTGACTCAACACCTGTAAACCAGCACTTTAGGAGGTAGAGGCGGGTGGATTGCTTGAGCTCAGGAATTCGAGACCAGCCTGGGCAACGTGGCAAAACCACACCTCTACCAAAGCAAAAAATTAACCAGGTGTGGTAGCACGTGCCTGTGGGCCCATCTACTAGGAAGGCTGAGGTGAGAGGATTGCTGGAGCCTGGGAAATCGAGGCTGCAGCGAGCCGTGATCACTCCAGTGCACTCCAGCCTGGGTAACAGAGTGAGACCTTTCCACATTCTCCAAAAAAAAATAAGAAAAGACAACAACAACAACTTAGCAGAGATCTGTGCTGATGATTAGATTAGATTTGGAAGTCATTAGATCATTTTTACTTACTGTAATCAGTATTAAACTTAGAGCATTCCTTAAAGCAGTTGCTACTGGTTTTTGTTATCTCTAAAGTACTGAAGTTTTTGGCAGCAGGGATATCATAAGTGTTTTGAAGTTCACCCTTTAACTTCAGCCTGAAGGGGAAACTTGGTGGTAGGAAACAGGAATTTAAGTTAAGGTAACCTTGATGTATGAGTGCATATTTATGAATATTTATTCTAGCAATTGAGTTTGTGGAATTGCTTGAGTGGAAAAGAAAATATAATTTCAGTGAGGTCATATGGACAGAAGTCAGATTTTAGTTGGTTGGTTGAGAAGTTGGAAAGAGAATCTGTACAAGTTATTATTATGCCTGATGGTCAAGAAAAGGGGTGAAAGAATGGTAAGAATTATCTGTGGCTGAAAGAACTTATCGTCTTACAAGATTGGAAAAGTGAATTATGTTTGTATCCTAAGGTGGCAAGTCAGTAGAGATGGAAAAGTTCGAAGTGTGAGGATGAAGGGAGATAATTAATAGCTAAGTTGCTGTGGAAGGTGTGAGGAATGGGATATGGAGCATAGTCTGGGAGTTAGTCTTGAATGTGGAAGGGTCAACCATTTCACTGATGTAGAAGGGAAGGAAGTGGAAGAGGTAGTAGATATCAGATATGATATTTTAGAAAGTTGGGCATTAAGAAGAGTATGATTGGGGAGGTTGTTGTGACTTTCTGCCTAAAGATTCAGTCAGGATCATGTGCTAACAGGTGACTTGAAGTTTAGAATAGCCATTTGGGGGGAGTAGACACAAGAGGTGGGGCACTCGTGGCTGACATTTATTAGAGCAAAAGGATTTATTAGAGCAAAGAAAAAGACCTGTTAGATAGTCTGAAGGAGTCTAGACACAGGCTTTCAAAGTTTGTCTCCCAGAGATAGGGTTGAGGGGCTACTTCTTCCTCAAGCAATGAAATAGAGCAATGCGGGCAGGGCACAGTGGCTCACACGTGTAATCCTAGCACTTTGGGAGGCCTAGGCGGGCAGAGATCACTTGAGGTCGGGAGTTTGAGATCAGCCTGGCCAGCATGGTGAAACCTGTCTCTACTAAAAATACGAAAATTAGCCAGGCGCGGTGGCAGGTGCCTCTAGTCCCAGCTACTCGGGAGGCTGAGGCACAAGAATCGCTCGAACCTGGGAGGTGGAGGCTGCAGTTCGAGTTGAGATTACGCCATGGCACTCCAGCCTGGGTGACAGAGCGAGACTATTAAAAAAGAAAAGAAAAGAAATACAGCAATGCAACATGTTCGCAGTGTTTCTGCCTAAGGAAGCTCACTTAAGACTCACGCTGGGGGGCCAGTAGGGGATTGGGAGTAGTCACATAAGGCACTCTGCTTGCACAACCAGCCACAATTACCAGAATCCCAGATTCCCAAAAAGAAAGGAGGTGTTCACCATAAATCACACTGTTTGCAAAAACAGCTTAGGCGAACCGTAGCAGAGTTCTGTGTCCCCACAACTCCCGCACACACACTTAAAATAACCTTATTAATATAGGGAGGATCCAAAATGATTACCAGAGACCAGCCCCACAAGTGTACACTTCTTAAGAACAATATCAGTCCTGCTATGTTAAATCCTTTTAGCATCGGCACTAAACACCAAGTCAGATATTTATCCCAGTTTCTAGTATTGCCAGTATGCATAACTTCTGGTTGTGTAGTTTTCTCTATGGGGCATTTCAAGTAATAGAATAGAGAAAGTGAGTTAGATTCATTCAGATGTGAAATTTTATAGGGGCTGAAAGTTCTAAGAAAGGATGTGGGTGAGGAAGCAACAAGGTGGTAAACAGAGGCTAATGATGAGAGAGCCTAAGTGTGAAATTTGGGGGTATACTATTGACAAGAGAGAAAAGAAACAAGGCCATGTGACCGGATGGGAAAAACTCAGACTAGAGCAGGGGATTGGCCTGACGGCAAAGTCCAAGGCTAGGATGTGGACCTCACTAACTTTTCTCTTTTTAGGCTAGTGAAAATAAGACTCATTATCAACTTTTAAAAAATTATCTACTTAGTACATTAGGTGAAGTCTTTATTTCACATCTTGTTTAATTTCCTAGTCTGTTTTAGTTGAAAACAAGCTTGATATGTATGTCTGTGCTATGAATTCTGTCTTCTTAAAGAAAATGTTTTCTAGGAATTATAAAAATCATTTCTTCTAATATACTAAGTTTTCCTCTGTTCCTTGCTTGCACTTTCATCAAAGAGGATACTTCTGACAAGCTGGATGGTAAGAACTTCCTTTCCTAATTCTACTAAAGATTTTTATGGAACCTGGATTCTATATAATATTCTTGTTCATTCTTCTCTTATTTTCTGAAAATGTATTATTAATACTTATTTAGTGATAACGTTAATGTAAAAATGGCTACATAATTCTCTGAATAAAGTTGGGGTTATATCCCAGTCTACTCAAATACTAGGTAACTATTTTGTTTTAACTTAATTACCTTAAAATGTTTTCCCGAGCTCTTTAGAAGTACGCCTCTGAATATTCTCGATTTGTTAAGTCTTCATAAAAAATATTGGATTCAGAAGAATGGAAAGAAATCTCCTAAATCATTTCATTCACCTCTTTAGTCTACTAACTGATACGACAAATGACATATTTCATAAGTTCATATGATTGTTTTTGAAAATGAAATGCAAGTTACAGAGGCTGACTTTTTAGAGGGCGTTGTAAACTAACATTTAGTCAAAATTGAACTTTAAACTTTGCCCTTTTAATTTCAGTATTCAGTTGCTTACAGTTTATCTGTAGTGGCTCGGTTCAGTAACAACCCTGTATGATATTTTTTGTCTGATACTAGATAGTATATTATCCACACTTTCCCTTCACTACAGCAGATACCATAATGTTACCTATGAGCTTGACCTTTTTTAAATAACTTAAGATACTAAATCTGTATGCCACATTATGAGATCTAAGAAAAACAGAGACACTATATATTTTTCTGTAAATTATTATGTAAATGGAAAATTGATCTAATATATCTTCTGTTTTAATGAGATATAACATTTATTAAACCTTGGGTTAGGTACATGACTGCTAGTTATATTAGTCTCTGCTTTTCTATATTATTATAATAAAATATTGAATGAAATGATAACCCATCAAGAGTTGGTTTCTATGTATCAAACCCCTTGGATATCCTAATATTGATATTCTGAATCCTTTAAAAACACTTTTATCACTTTCCCATTCAAAATATTTTCCTGTTTGGGTAGGAAATATCAATCTATTTGAGGAGTCACTTCTGTTATATGATGTGATACTTTTACTGATGTTCAATCCTATGTTTAAAAAAAATACACAGACATGTATATTATTGCCCTTTAGTAGTGAGTTATGATGTTTGTACTTAGTCATTTTTTATAGATTTCATCGACATCTTAAGGAGTGCACATAAATGTTGAATAAATAGCTAATGAATTGGATTGATAGGTTTTTACTTTGTAGATGCTTTGATGAAAATGGGCAAATGAGGCCTACGTCATAGATTTTATTCCTATGTTTCTTAGTTAGCTTTTTCTGATTCCTTTATGGGCTACCTTTTGAAAATGCAGAGAAAACATTTCTACCCTGGAAAGAGCTATAAAATTTCATTTTCAAAGAGTAATTACAGGGTTACATTTTTTGAGGGATTAATTTCTCTAATTTTTTATACCATTTCAAATTTTAAGAATGAAATATAGCAGACAAAAAATGTTTCCTATAGATTTTTGTTATTTTCATTTGTCTAGTTTCAGCCTTTTTCTGTGTGCTGTGAATCATTGGATTTCCTCAAATTTTGTTTTTCTCAAAATGAACCTTCCCACAGTTAATTTAACGCTGTCAAAAAGTTACGTTTTGCTTTTACCCTTTCATTATAGTGTTGGGTGGGGATTGTGAGGCAGGTCTTAATATCAACATTGGCAGAATTTGTTGAAATACTGTTTTATTTTTCTTATTTAGGAACAGCATCTGAAGATGGTAAGAATTATATATTTTGTTAGTAACGCAAATACATCTACATTACTATTTTCATTGGTAGGAATTAAATATTAAAACTAAAATAGGCTAATTTCTTTGCAAGTCTTTATAATTTGCCAGTGGTAGTAAGTTCTACATTTTATATTTGGTTGTCTTAGTAATGTGTGGATCTTTTTTTTTTTTTTTTTAATTCTTCATCCTGCTAGTTTGCTTTGTACTTTAGATCATCTCATGCTGGAAAAACATAATTGCTTAACATGTTTAATAATACATAGTGTAATGTAAGCATATAATTCATTTTTTATAGTAGTGACATTAATGCTTTTACATGTTTGTAGTTTTTTTATTTATGCCAATTCATTTATACTTTAAGAGATCATGCACCATTGCTTTATCATTGAAGTTTTAAATGCATTTACTTAGTCTGCTTTTAAAATATGTCTTCTACTTTTGAATCAGTAAGTGGCGAATTGGTCACAGATTCAAATTGAATTACACCAGAATTGCTACACATATCCTACTGAGTCAGTTCATCTTAAAAATCATTTTTATAGTTTTGAGTTTGTAGAAAGGAATTTAGTGTTTATATTCACTCTACCTGAAATCTGTCTTTTTAAAACCTCTGATTCAAAATATAATTTTTCCTCTAGGTGTTATGTGAATGACTATTTTTTGCGATACAAAACCAAGTAGAATAAAAAGTTATTTGGTCTCATGTTTACTCTGATATATTTAAAATAATTTTGTATTTTAAGTTTTAAATTAGAATACTCTATAAAAATAGGATCTCTGGCCAGGCGTAGGGGTTCACACCTGAAATCCCAGCACTTTAGGAGGCTGAGGTAAGAGGATTGCTTGAGCCCAGGAGTTTGAGACCAACTTGGGCAACATAGTGAGAACCCATCTCTACAAAAAATTATAAATTTAGCTGGGTGTGGTGGCACGCTCCTATAGTCCCAGCTATTCTGGAGGCTTAGGTGGGAGGACCACTTGAGCCTGGGAGATCGAGGCTGCAGTGAGCCATGATCATGCCACCGCACTCCAGCCTGGGCAGCAGAACAAGACTGTGTATCAAGAAATAAATAAATAAAAATAAAAACATGATTTCTGGCACTGTGGAATTGTAATTTCAAATGTTAATATCAAAATAACATTCTCATTTCTTTGTTATATACAATGTAGATTAATTCTCCATTTCAAAAATAATAATTTGGTCATTTTGTTTTACTTTTTAGTCAAGAGAACTTTGTGTCCTGCTCAAAATAGACTGTAAAAGGGTGAGAGGCCTGAACCACGGGCTCATTAGGGGCCTTGAAGTTGATAGTATGCTGGTATTCTACCAATTAAACTTCTGGTTTTGATTCTGTTTTATTCCTAGTTCTTACTACTCTCATCTTTTCTCATTTCTTAATTTTGTGATATCTCCTTATTCTTTAAGGAGTTTTTATTCTTATTATTTAGTATGTTTTTTCCTAATTAATATGGTCATATTGGGCTAGCCAGTATTTCATGTATACCCTACAAGTTGTATCTTTTAATTTTAACTAAAAGTAGTTCTGAGCCCTTCTTTTTGAATGACAAACCTTATTGGTTCTGATTTGATAGTAGTTGAGACTATTGCTTAAGAACACCAAAGTACCATCCAATAATATATTCTGTCCTCACTTATTTTTATTAACTGCAGCTAACTTAAGCACTTGACAAACATGTTTCTTGTGGTTGAAGAGCCCTAGAAATAGAGTGAGGATGTTTGTGGCCTAGTTTTGTGGAGGGGAATGAGGCAGTGGTAGAGTAGAAAGGAGCAGTTTGGGAGGTATGAAAAGAAATATATTGAGAAAAATGCCAACTCTTATGTGATATGTATTTCCTCAAATCATTTTCTAAATGAAATGGTTGATTGGAGGAAGAGAGCAGTAAACATGTCCATATACATGTGTAGTAATCTGATATAAAGAGATTAAATCTTTTGCCTAATTATATCTCTTCCTTCAGATCCCTTTAGAAATACATTTTCAGTCAAAAGGATGGTTTGAATTGTTCCTAAGATTAGGCTTATATTTAAAACTGTAGGGTTGAGTTGAGAATAATCTAAACTTCATGGAAACTAAAATTTCAGAATTGCAACTACCAATTGAGAAACAAGTGACATGCCTATGGTAATTATCTTAATGATAACTGCTGGACTAATAATTAAACTAAGAATGTAAATCTTTTAGTTTGATTCTTCTTACCCTTGAAGGAAAGTTAGCTTGTTGTATAACACGTAAAAACGAAATACTGTTTATAAAATTTTTAAGAGAAATAGAACCCATAATTGATGATTACATTATTACAGAATTTGGCAATACCTAAAAATAGTGAGATTTTTCTCCCCTCATTATTAAACATTATTATAGAAAAACGTTTTTAATTATGTAATTATTTTATTTCTCAGGCCGGGTGAGAGCAAAACTTTCAGCACCACTTGCTGGCATGGGAAATGCCAAGACAGATTCTAGAGGAAGAAGTCGAACAAAAATGGTGTCTCAATCACAGCGTATGTATTGCCTATCAGCCCTCCTATATTTGTCACTATGTTAGGATAAGTGTGTTCCTTGTATATTACTGTATTAGATGATTGACCAGTGGATAAAGACAAAGCTAATTTTAAAAAAGACAAGCCACATACTGAGTTCTTGTTCTGTGCTTTAGGTTCATCATCACCTGACAAAAATGAAGGTATTTTTTTCAATGTTTTGGATCAGTTGTTGTGCATGTTTTGGAATTTTTTGAGTGGGTGTTGTCTTGTCTTTGGTGTGTTATTAGGGCTGCATCATTGATATCTGCCACTTAGAAAGAAAAACTTCATCTGCCTTACAAACTTTTGCATGGAGATATTTTAAATAGCACAAATCCTTAGCATTAAGGTGTTCACATTCTACTCAGATGCTAATGTAGAAAATTGTGCTTTTTAGAGACAAAATAATTGCCATATATTAGCATCAAAATATGGTTATATCTTAGGTAACATTATTCAAGGACAGATAATGGTATCTTATTTTCCCCAAAATCTATTAGATTATCTATTTTTGGTTAGCATTTTTGGCAGGTATATGCTAATTTATAGTGAGGAAACGTAATTTGAAATGACCAATTCTGTTGCATTCATGTTAAATTTAGGATTTATATTTTTGCTCTTTCACTGGAAGCTGTCATAAGCGTGATTATTAAAAAGCACAATTTTGAGGTCTAGCTAAAATTAATCATTTATTTCTATGTTTCAGAATAGTAAACATATATTTATGGCATTTTTAAAAACTATTTATTTATTTATTTATTTATTTATTTATTTATGAGAGATGGGGTCTTACTCTGTTGCCCAGGCTGGAATAGAGCAGTGTAATAATAGCTCACTGCAGCTTCCAACTCCTGGGCTCCCACCTTTGCCTCTTGAGTGGCTGGTACCACAGGCTTGCGCCACTATGCCTGGCTAATTTTTTGTTTATTTTAAGAGATGGGGTCTTGCTGTGTTGCCCAAACTGGTCTTGTTCTTCTGGCCTCAAGCAATCCTCCCACCTCGGCCTCCCAGAGTGCTGGGATTATAGGTGTGAGCCACCATGTCTGGCCTCATTTATGGCATTATTAATTTAAAATCATTTGTTCCTCTTCCTTCTTTACCAAGAGATTTTCCTTAGTGCTTACCTCTAAAACCAGGACAGTTTTCTAGGGGAGTAATTGTGGGAGTTATTCATGTGCTTCACTATTTGTTTTTCTTTTTTTGAGACAGGATCTCACTCTTGTCACCCAGGCTGTAATGGTGCAGTGGCGCAATCATTGCCCACTGCAAGCCAGGAACTCCTGGGCTCGAGGGATCCTCCTACCTCAGCCTCCCAAGCAGCTGGGACTACAGGTGCATGCCACCACTCCTGGCTAATTTTTTTTTTTTATAGAGGTGGGTTCCCACTGTGTTGCTCAGGCTAGTCTCAAACTCCTGGGCTCAAACCGTGTTCCTGCCTCTGCCTGCCAAAATGCTGGGATTATAGGTGTGAGCCACTGCACCCAGCCTTCTTGGCTATTTTTGAAAGAAATAAATGTAACTATTTTCTACCATTGTTTAGGTGATTTATTAGAATATGGATGTCCTATTTGTTTGTTTTTAACCTGATTTCTGAATCTTGAAATCGGGAAAGAGAATGGGGCATTGAAGGGCAGGATAGTGATTACACAAGTCTTACCAACCAGATCCTTCTCTTTTTCCAAAGTCAGAAAATCCAGGCAGAGTAATGATTGGAGCACTCAAGAAGAGTCCTAAAAATAAGCGGAAGTAAATTGGTTTGCAGCTTGAAGGTTATTTACGAATAGGAAAACTTTTATCTCAACTAAATCAGTAGATCATATCATGTTCTTCCCTGATCTTGTATATTTTTAGAGTAACTTAATCTTTAGCAGTGTAGCATAGTAGTTAGAAGATGTGTTCTTCCATATGTGCTGCCCAGACCAGTATTAGCATCATCTAGGAGCTAGTTAGAAATACACAATCTCATATGCCATTACAGATCTACTGAATCCAGTCTTTAACAAGATCATCAAGTGATTTGTATCGCAATTAAGTTTGAGAAGTACATACCGGTTTAAATCATGGACACTGGAGATAATAGCATCTACATAGGATTGTTGTGAGGATTAAATGATGTAGTGTATTTAATATACATAAAATATTGCTTAGCTTTGAATAAGCACTATATATGTTAGCTAATAAAATTGTCATTTTTAAATTTTTTTAAAATTTAAAAAAATTTTAAATACTACAGATGATCCTTATTATTATTCTTAATCAAATGTCAACTGAATTTTAGACTGCTTTTGTGTACTTCTGTACCTTGTTATTCTTAGTGCCTTCAGTAAACAGATAAATAAATAATGAAATTAGGAAAATTAAAGCATAAAGATAACAACCAGGAATTTCCGTGTCCATTGTCTAAGGATAAAAATTAATTGTGAGGTATTAGTTCTTTTCTGAAACAGTACTGAGGCTGATGTCAGGGCAAAGAGTCCAAGGACCTTTTTTTTTTTTTTTTTTTTGCTTTTTTTAAAATACTTACGAGACCTCCTTTTCATGTACATTGTAAGTAAAGATCACTTCACTAGAAAATAGAATAATTTTTTGCATTTGGCTTTTCACTTTGAAACCCGTTCCATAATCCTCCACATCTGCTCCTAAATTGTGAAAACACAGTAATTGGCTTTCTTAGACTAAATAGGACTTTAAGATTAGAAGACTTTCCCTCTGTAAAATCATTTGGGTTTTATATTGGAGGGACTTTTGTTTGTTTGCTTGCTTACTTATTTGAATGACTATATGTTCCATTCCGAATTCTTTTGTATAAAAGGTATTATGTAATTTGTATGCAAGTTTCTTTACAATATATTTGCACAGAAATATTACTGTGATCATCATCCTTACTTTGGCATAAAGTGATTCATTAGGGCTTGCATGGTCTTACCGTACCTTTGTATCACAACTTAGAAAAAAAAAGTCTCTCAGATCAAAGCAGGTGTGTTCTGATGGCTAACCAAAATAAATAAATAAATGGAGACTCAAAGGAGAGATCACTAGACCTATATTTATGACAGAATTGTGTCTCTTTTTCTGTTGGTAGTGGCTGGTTGTATACAAATGATTGTACAGCCTGTCAGAAACTTTGTCTCCTCTCCTCCCATCTTTTGGTTTTTTTTGTTGCATCTTAAGAAAGATGACATTTGTAGCTTTTTCATGTAATTTTTCTTCAGCTGTACAGTGTTGTAGTTGTTCCTTATAAGTAGTTTTAAATTAAATGTTTAATGAAAACAAACATTTAATGATTTTGATTTCGACTGTCAGTAGTAGAAAAGCTGAAGAATTTACATTTACTGTTGCAATCTCATTTCATCTGCTTTGTACATGAGTGTCTGATTTCAGTTGATTAGCTTTAAAAACTACTAAATGTACTGCTTTTGTTAAAGACATCTGTGCTTTTGGGATTTTTTAAAGTTTGCTTTTTTTGCTTTAGGGTTTTTAATTTTCTGAGAACTGACTAAAGCTTTCTTATTTCCATCTGCCATCCATTTAAAAACTGCTCCTTTCCTCTTCATGGATTATAATCCTTACCCTAATTCTGCCTTTACACTTGTTCAGGATCACAATCTGCTAATACCATTGGTGGTAAGAATCTATAGACTTTATGTGTGCATCTATTGTTTGATCACCTATTTTCATTATGAAGAATGGGTTCTATTCAGCAGAAATTCTTAACATCATAGTCTATCATTTGTAGTCATACTGGGGCAGAAATTGCCAGTTGTGATTTTTCTTTGGCCTTTGTCTTATTACCAGAATTTTGATTTGTTTTTTTTTAATGTCACAAGTTAATACTGTGGATATAAACATTCAAAAGAAACAGGAGCTTTTGTCATGCTTTGAAATACTATAAAAACTATAAAATGGTAGTTTGAAAACTTTAGGTAACACAAGAGAAAATAGGTGTTCGATGTCAAGTTTTGCAAATATGGGTATTTTCTGGTAGCATGCTATTCCTTGGATATATCATGACACTTTTCATCAACTCTGGTTTTCCTAAGAGAAATAATTAGTGTTGGTGGCTCTTTACTGGGGAAGGAGCCTTGGTATTTTTTCCTAAGTATGAATAATTCCAAACTGGGTCATAGGTACTAGAATTATCACACTCTTGGTGGGAATCAGGAGTATTGCACAGGAGAGGGTAATGATTAAAGCAAAATGAACACTGACAATTTTATTTCCTAGGATAGGGCAGGAATGAATTTAAATTTATAGAGTGCACTTGCATAATTTTTAATAAATTCAGTAAATCTAGAGTAGAAAGAGAAGTTACTCTGTTTCTGAACTGTAAGTTTCCTATCTGCTGAATAGACCCACATTTCAAGAAATTCTGCAGTCTCTCCTACCAACACTTCCACCCCCCAAATTTATATTGGTTTTAATAGAGTACCATATTGTATGTGCTCAGTTCATTATTTATACTTTTTATATTGTTGCGAGTTTTCCCATAAAATATTCCATTGGCCTATCTTACATTGTGAGTTGTGGCATGTTGGGTGTTTGGATGTTTTTGGTGTGTGTGTTTAGTTTAGACACTGCATGGAGAAAACAGGTTCCTTATATGAGTATCCTTAAGGTTATAACTGAAAGAAACTGGATTTAAAGATTCTTCACTTGAAACATCATGAAACGTTCAAATGAGCTATTTTAAAATACACTTGAATAATTTCCTTACAATAATTTAGAATTCCTTCTATACAGATAGTAAATTGTTAATTGCAGTGGAAGCACTGCTTTGTTTTACAATATTGTTATCACTAATAGGAAATAAGTTTCATTTCGTATGCTGGTAAAGTTTAAGAATTAAGCAGGAATATAAATTGTATTCAGCAAGACCATTCCAAGAAAATTGTAGTAAGAATCACAGATCGCCAGCCCATGGACCATGTCTAGTCTGTCTCCATTTATGTATTATTTGGCCTATAGAATATGATAAAAATCTGGAAATATCAAAGCTTTCATTTTTGAAAAATCCCAAGACCTATCCACTATCACCTCAAGACAGTGGTGGCTAGAACTAAAAAGTCACCTCTCAGTCTAGGAAAGGGCAGACACTCCCCTCTTGATCAGTCGTCTTACTACTCCCTGCTTTACACAGTGCCCCTCGCTTTTTTGACATCCTGTGCTTGTCCCCATTGGCATTTGAGTCTCTGTGGAAATGAAGCCTGTTTGGGTAAAACTGTATATCATGTAATTGTACAGCCCTCTTACTGGGTAGAAGTAGTGCCCACAAAGGGAAAAGGTTGCTTTCATGAAGATTAATTTAACTGCAACTTTAATTTTTCTATTACTCTTCTGAATCTACATTTAGACTATATCTTGGAGTTCTTATCTAGTCCGTTTTTCTATTCAACGTAGACATAAAGTGCTTTGATTGGCAAGGAGCTTATCTCCTTAAAATTTAACCCTTGCATTTCTAGTTTAAAAACATGTTTTTAAAACTTTTTAAACCCATGCACAGTCTCTGAAAAAATTTTACTAACTCTGCCTGTGTTCCTGACCACATGTCCACCTTCCAAAACGGAAAATTACTCATTTGAAAAGAGACCGGGCGTGGTGGCTCAGGCCTGTAATCCCAGCACTTTGGTAGGCCAAGGCGGGCAGATCACGAGGTCAGGAGTTCGAGATCAGCCTAGCCAACCTGGTGAAATCCTGTCTCTACTAAAAATGCAAAAATTAACCAGGCGCGATGGCAGGCGCCTGTAATCCCACCTACTCAGGAGTCTGAGGCAGGAGAATCGCTTGAACCCGGGAGGCGGAGGTTGCAGTGAGCCGAGATCGCGCCACTGCACTCCAGCCTGGATGACAGAGCAAGACTCTGTCTCGAGGTAGAGTGGACGGAAATACAAGAAAAGAAAGAAAAGGATCTGATTCATTTGATGTTTTCCCCTTACTCCCTTTCTACCCTTAGAACTTCTGTAACCCAGAATGTCACTACCCAAGAGCGCTCTGTTATTTGAAGACAAATAGCAAAAAGCAAGTTTCTTTTTCAGCTGGCCCACTTTTGTCAGCATTTGAAATTTAATTGTGTTAAGTTTAAAAATATGTCTCATAGTAAGACAGCTTCGCTGTACCCATTCAGAGAAATCTCAGCAGGCAAACTATTTTAAAATGCCAACAGTTTATCATTATTATATACTTAACAAAAAAATAGTGATAGAATTGCTGGTTTTTGTTTTTGTTTTTTTTTTTAATACAGTCATGCTCTGCATAACCACATTTAATCAATGACCACATATGTGACAGTGGTCCCATAAAACTATAATACTGGGAAGCAGGTGAGGAACAGAAGACTACGTATTGGGTACAGTGTATATTGTTCAGGTGACAGGTGCACCAGAATCTCAGAAATCACCACTAGAGAAGTTATGCATGTAACCAAACACCACCTCTACCCCAAAAACTATTTGAAATAAAGCTTTAAAAAATTATAATACTGTACTTTTACTGTACCCTTCTATATTTAGATATTTTTAGATACACAAATATTTACCATTGTGTTACAGTTGCCTACAGTATTGTTAATGGCATACTGTATAGGATTTGTAGCCTAGGAGCAATAAGCTATATGCCATATAGCCTAGATCTGTAGTAGGCTATACCATCTAGGTTTGTGTAAGTACACTGTGATGTTCACACAATGATAAAATCACCCAACAACACGTTTCTCAGGATGTATCCCATTGCTAAGTGACATGTGACTATATAGCTTGTTCACACAGAACATGATAGCCACAGGAAATGGATTGTCAGATAAGTGATTTCTTTGGAAATCTTGTATACCATTTGTGTTCTAAAAATTATGATGATATTGTCCTTATTAAACATAGTGTCTTATACCTCCAAAACTTGAAGTATATTTAGGTGATTTACCATTCAGTGCTCATACATGTAGTATACCTTTTTTTTTTCCAGGTTATAATTATATTTAAATCTTCCTCGGTCTATTTCCTTTGAGCGTAGAACCTGTCATACTATCACAGTTTTCTCTGTATTATCAATATTTCTTGAATTTTTATCCTTTCAGCAAATTCTCTTGGTGTTTAATCTTAACATTTGTATATGTGTTTGGTGTTCAGCTGGTAGCCGGTCTGGGTCTCCAGGAAGAGTTCTGACCACAACAGCCCTGTCCACTGTGAGCTCTGGTGTTCAAAGAGTCCTGGTCAATTCAGCCTCAGCACAAAAAAGAAGCAAGATACCACGGAGCCAGGGCTGTAGCAGAGAGGCTAGTCCATCTAGGCTTTCAGTGGGTAAGATTTTTTTTTTTTTTATGTGAGACATGTGACCCTTTTTAAAATTTTTTTATTTTTTTCAGGCTTTGGCAACATTGAAGACTTTGGAATACAATTAGGCACTTACAAATTGGAAGAAAATAACTTAAAAATTCAACAGTTGAAGAATAGGTTATGAGTTGAATTAGGTATCTTAAACGTGTAATTCAGGGCCTGGCGCAGTGGCTCATGCCTGTAATCCCAGCACTTTAGGAGGCTGAGCGAGGCGGATCACTTGAGGTCAGGAGTTTGAGACCAGCCTGGCCAACACCGCCATCTCTACTAAAAATACAAAAGTTAGCCAGGCATGGTGTTGCATGCCTGTAATCCCAGCTACTCGGGTGGCTGAGGCAGGAGAATCTTTTGAACCCAGGGTGAAGGCTGCAGTGAGCCAAGATCACACCACTACACTCCAGCCTGGGCAACAGAGACTCTGTCTCAAAAAAAAAAAAAAAACCCAAAACAAAACAAACAAACCCTGTAATTCATAGGAGCTTTGAAAAATATAGCTAGTATTTTAAAGTAAAAGGTTATTGTGGAATTTTATAATATATTTATCACATATACATACATGTATATATATACAGTTGCTTGTGTATTTGACATTCGTGTTATAGTTCAGCCCTATTCAAATACTAGTAAACTTTAATATTTTCTCTGTGTATTGATTAGGACATTTTACATTTCAGATGATAGCAATGACAGTTGAAGCCAGCTTAAACAATAAAAATGGATTTATTGGTTCTTTTAAGTTTGAAGATTGTACAACCTTCAGGATTGATTGATTAACATTGCTATGATGAACCCAGAATCTGTCTTATTTTCCCTTTCTCTCACTCTCCCTTCCTTCTTTTCTGCTTTATCAACCATGTTGCTGGCTTTGTCCTTAGGATAGCTGCTGCTTGATACGTCGTTTCCAGAGAAGAAAGCCCCTAATAATTCCAGTTTATTTTTAATAATTTTTTATTGTTTTAAGTCTTTTGCAGATTACCTATGTAACTTTAAAAATATTCTCATATTTAAAGAAAATACTCACATTTCTATTTCTTGTTTTATCAACCTCAATCAGTATCTCAACTTCCATACTTTTCCTCCCTTCACCTTCCACTCTTAGAGTTATCAATTTTTATATTATTAAAGTTTACACATACATTTTCTTCTGTATCCACAAGCAAGTCTTATGTATTTGTTCCGTAAGTTGGCTTTAAAAGATGAAAAGCTATAAATAACATATACTGTGTTATGAGTAAATGAATGTTGTTTGCAGCCAAGACACATAGTGTACTGTGAACTCATTTCTTCCCAAAGGTACACTGAATGTTAGGGACCACTTGAAGGAGAATGTTCCTGTTATAAGGAGATGAATTCTTTTCTCTTATATTCCTACCAGTTACTTACAATTATGCCACGTTTTCGTTTGCTGTGTATATAGAAAGTGACTAAGAGTAATGTGCACTTCTCATATCCTTTAGTATTACTTTCCCTTCAGTATTGCTGAAAGGAAATATGCAATTCCTTATTTTTTCCAGACTTTCTTTTCAGTACTCTCTGGATTAGTTGCCGTCTAGGCCTGTTGCTCAGCTATCTTCTTGAGATTCCCATTTGCTGCTTTCCTGGTTTGAATCACTCCCTCCTGGATCCTCTTTCTCTTCCTTTGCTCTTTTGCTTTGCTCATACACATTCTCAAGTAAATTCCTTAGAAATTGTATGTAAGAGTCAAGCTTTTTGAAACCTTGCTTGTGTGAGAATGTCTTTATTCAGTAGATGGCACAGATTTCTTTTGGGCGTACAGACTTTGAATTACTGTTCCTAGCACTTTTCATTTGTTCTGTGCCTGGTATTTGGCCCATGAGCCTCTCAAGTTTTCATCTAACTAATTCACTTTCTTTTGTTTTCCAGACATTATTTTAAATTCTCTGCTCCACCTTTAGTCAGTCTTCGCCCCTGTTTATTGTTTCTTTCTTTCCATATTTGTGGGGTTTTCATTTGTGAGGAGGTGAGAAAAAGAATGGGAATTGAAAGCATTGGCTTATTTTTTCCTCCTTTGTTTTTGTTTGTTTTAGAGACAGGGTCTCGCTCTGTTACCCAGTCTGGAGTGCAGTGAATGATCATAGTTCACTGCAGCCTGGACCTCCTGGGCTCAAGCAATCCTCCTGCCTCATCTTCTTAAGTAGCTAGGACTACAGGCGTATGCCACCATCCCCAGCTAATTTTTGTATTTTTTTTGTAGTGAGACAAGGTCTCACTATGTTTCCCAACCTGATCTCGATCTCCCAGCCTCAAGCAGTTCTCCCTCCTCACCTACCCATGTTGCTGGAATTACAGGAATGAGTCACTGCACCTGGCGTTTTTTCCTCTTTATCTTGAACTAAGAACTTAAGAATGGGTGTTTTACTTTAGATTAATATTTGATAAGTATAGGGTTTTTCTGTCTATTAAAACCAAGATTTTAACTTAAGATACCAAAAGTGTTAGAAACCTCTATAGTTCAGTGAACAAAGAGAAAAATTAAGTTGTACTATATTGTACAGTGTGTTAAATCTTTTTATTTGCAGCATTTTTGGTTTAGTAAAATATTATTTGCCATTCTAATTTCATACAAACTAGAGGACCATATTTAAGAATTTAACTGTATTCCTGGTAATGCTTCAGCAAAAGTAATTTCTTTTCAACCTTAGAAAAATGTAAGTTACTGATCAGTCTTTAAGAAAGAAAAAAACAAAATTTTTTAAGATGCAAACTCTGTTCTGTTTTCTCCCTTACTGTGCTGCTGTTGCTTCACACCAGCCCGAAGCAGTCGTATTCCTCGACCAAGTGTGAGTCAAGGATGCAGCCGGGAAGCTAGTCGGGAGAGCAGCAGGGACACAAGTCCTGTTCGTTCTTTTCAGCCACTTGGTATGTATTCCGGCAGGTGCTACATGCGTTGCTATCCATTGTGTTATCACTATCCGATTAACTTCAGCATACCTGGGATTCAGCTTTCTTTGTTGACAGATCTTTTTCTCTACCCGTTTTCTGTCATTTTGAGGAAAGGGAATTACATGTTTGGGAAATTCCTTTGACTTGATTTACATGTCTGAAATGAATATGTTAGTCATTGTATTAGCAGATTGCCTTCATAATCAAGTAAATGTCACATAGATTTAAACTTCAGAATATTGAAGTCTAGATCTTTCTTAACAGGTAAACCTACAAATTTAAAGATATTTAAATATTTAATCTCAAGTGAAATGTGGACTAGTTTGATAAAATACTTTTGTCTTTTTCAGCGGAAATGTTAACATTTCAGCTTAGATCATTTAACTTAGGTTACTAAAAAGAATGCCACAAAATAATGTATGAACTACTTGTTAATGGTAGGGATTAACATTTTTATAGTATTTTACAGTTTAACAGTCATTTCCTATGAGCTAATGCTCTTGTCACAGCAGTAAAACTTGTTTGTCCCCAATTGTATTATAACCTTGATTGTAATACTATATTTACCTCAATTATAAAAATATTAAATGATTTCTTAAACAGTCAGTATTAGGATAACTGGAGAGGTATAGTTGTGTATGTACCTTGAGAATCTTTAGAATTTCTGCATAATCCTTCAGCATTTTAACTAGTACTTTGTTTAAATGCACAAGCCTGTAGCCATTTCAGATTTTTTTTCTTTAACACAATGTAGTTTACTGTAAGACTTAGAAGGTTGCTCTTCAGACTTTGAAATGCTCAGGGAGAACATAGTTCTACTTATCCAGTGGATTCTTATTTTCTCAGATATATATGGTAGTATAGAATTTTCTTTTTTTTTTTGAGAAGGGGTCTGGCTCTGTCGCCCAGCCTGGAGTGCAGTGGCCGGATCTCGGCTCA